GCTCAACACCATATTGCAAAATTCGTCAAGAGAAAAGACAGCGTGTTCGAATGCTTACTGAATAATCATATCTATATGTATGTACAGCAGACTAATATAGTGGTTGAATCGATGAAACAAAAAATAAAATGATATTTGCCATTTCCTATAACATCTATCACATATAGTATCATGAAGAGAAAAGTTACGCATTGAAGATTTATCTGAGAATATACCATAAATGTATAACTGTCAGAGTTTGTGAGTTCTATATTTTGACCCCACACGAGACCGCATTGACAATTTTTTTATTTATTTACCTGGAAAGATCTTTTCCAAATACCATGATAATGCCCAATAAAAAACACAACTAAGAAGCATAACAATCAATGTTGGAAAATACATTGGTACATAACTATATATAGTTCGAAATATTGCTACATCTTTGTTTGCTAGATCATACAATACAGCTTGCTATTAGACAAAAAATAAAATAAAACAAAAACTCATGAGAAAAATTATATGAATAATTCTTACTTGAAAAAGTGAATGTCCAGCAATATAAGGACAAAAAAACATCAATATATATTGTATACCTGGTGGCCATGAATTAGTAAATGAAGAGATATAATAGATAACATAATAAAAAACAAATGTAAATATAACAGCACGAACATTTGTATCAAATAATTGTGCATTCATTATACAAAATGATATTAATTGTAAACCATATATTATATTACCAACAAATAATATACCAAAATTAACTGTATTGAAATAAGCATCAGGATTTAATTTTAATTTATAGACAATAGATAAAAGTAGAATTAAAATAAAAAGAATAAACATTGTTCTAAAAATAAATAACATATTCTTGTTTGAAAAAATATAAATTTTTTTTCTATTATTATTTATTTACCGAATTCCTTGTGCAAGATTATTAAGAATAGGTTCAATACCAAGTACTTTAAGAATTTCTTTCACTTTTGCATTTTTTTCTCGAATTAAACTTATTAAAAGAATTAAATATCTAAAAATATGAATTCAAATAGATTTGTTTAATTAGAATTATTTTATTTACGGAACAATGAATACAGCATCAATCATTAATATAATTGTGGTAAGAAAATTTGATTCTGATGCTAAAAATAAAACAATATATTTTCTATTAATGGATATTTGTTTTTTTTTTAATCTTACTAAAAAGATAATCATTTCGAAATGGTGTACAAGTCATAAGATTTCGTTCAAGTTCAAATTGAATTTGATGATTTGTTTGATATTCCATAAGCAATGAATCAACAAACATTTTTACATCAGTAAATTCAGGTAATTCTGATCCTTCAATAGCATTGTTATCTGTTGTATTTGAACGATCAGAAATATAACCTAAACATTTGAAATGATGTTTTCTAGAATAGAAAAGATAATTGTTAATATACCTGGATGTTTATATGATATGAATGATCTATCGATAGGATCATTTTTTAAAATAATATTTGGTGCTCGAACAATAATGTTATCTAAAAATACATAATAAACAATAATCATTTTATTAATATCAATGGAAAGTTAAAATTTGCTATTAAGTGTCTAATGTTTGTTTTTTAATTCTTTACTCTCCATTGGTTCATTTTTGACTCATTCATAGAAAATATATATTTAAAGTGATAAAGCATCAGATCGAGATAATTTTCGACTATTCTGTAGAATCTTCAATAAACTACAAATTTGTAAAAACTTAAACTTCTTTTCATAACGTCTTGGCTAACATTTACAAGTCGGAAAGCCGTATTTTTTTTTCAAAAAAATGAAATAAGCTTCTTTTTATCTTATTTAGTAACGCAGATTGATTATTCTGATGTTTGTCAGGTTGATATACACAACTACAGACATAATATAATTGTAGAGTAATTGTTGAAAATTTCTTGACTACAAATGTGAGAACAGCATTTTTCATGACGATTTCAGTCATTTTTACCCCGTTCATAGTGAGTATCAGGAATTGTTTTATTCTAGACATAAACTCAAAGATAATGCAATCTTCATGCTAAAAGCTTTATTAGAACTACTAGCCAGTCAAGAGCATCTTACGGTCGTCTTTAAATAACTGTTTATCGATAAAAAATAGACACTTTCAAGTTTTATTATGGCCTTATTCTTGGGCGAGACCTTAACAATAAAGGTGAGTGATTTCTAATCAGATTTAGAGCTAATGATTCCATATTATAAGAAGAAAATGAAAATTAACAATTGCGACACAATCCTAAAAATGGAAGACTTGATTTCAATTTGAAAGAAAAGCTGTCTTGGCAAATATCTAGCCATATACAATCCTCGGAAATAGCTCTCTTTTCAAAAAATAATTCATGATAAGTAGAGTTCCAGCATTACACCGATAAAAGAGCAACATAACTGTGAAAAAACGCAAAAAAGATCAAACTAACAATAAATGCAATGTTTATTCCATTCAAGATGAATGGTTCAGTTATGGCCTATGCTGCATCTTCATAGTGAAATGACTTCACTCAAATTTAATCATGTCAATGTCATAAACAGCAATTATATAAGTTATTCTCATGATTTATTCAACACCATCTTTACTGGATTAGTGTCAGGAATAAAGGTCTAATGTTTTAGTAGCTCTTCTATTTAAATAAAATTATTTTCGATCTAATTCAATTCTTTTCTTTGCTTCTTCGTTTGAAAGGAAAGAATAGATTTTTGAAAACTCTTATTTAAATGTGCATCTCAACTTTCTATATCATATTATATTTATTTTCATTTGAAGCTTTAGTTTCTCTCGAACTGCTCTTCATATATATATATAATGTAGAGTAATGAGTCAATCTTGGTCTATAAGCTTTTAATAGATAAATCAACTTACAAGCAAGATTTCGTTCTTTTCTTAGATCAGATGTTGCACTGAAATCCACTATAACTGTATTTACAGTTTTATTTTGCAATAAATGCGCATCCATTTCATCATTTGGGTTTTGACTCCTTGAATATATATGTATAAATATATATATATATATAGAGAGAGAAAAAGACATAATATTAACTATAAATTCTTCTTGTCTTAATTATATTCAAATAAACTTACCAAACATTTGTATTATTACATTCCATTGTAGCTAAACGTGTTGTAGCACGTTGAACAAGTTCATTAATATCAGTTCGATTCGGTTCAAAGACAATATTTGTTTTATTTGATACATCATCATGACTATGTGAACCCCAACGGCCACCACTATAACTTGGTGGAAATTTAAAACAATTAGTAAATATATCATTTGATGAAGTTGGGGGAATATTGATATCTTGTGAACACGGATGTTTACTGAAAGATCCCGGTAAACTTCCATCGTCTTTTTGCTTTTCGGCTAATCGATTGATTCCATATCGAGCTAAGGTTAGTAATACTATTATAGCAATTGGAAATAGAAGTTCACAAAGTATCGTTGGACAACATTTACAACATCTTTGTCGATATGAATATCGAACTGATCGTTGAAGTAATAAATTAAGTTTACGTGATGAACTAACAGGTTCATATTCGGTTTCGATTAGTTTCTGCCGAATTGTATCGGATTGTGACATCGAGATTTAATTTATTTGTATCAATAGTTATATTTCTATTTATTAGATTATTTAAATTATTACGCTTGATGCTAAAATATAGTGAATTCGATTTTCTTTTTTTTATATATCTCGAGAACGAAAGTAGTTAGCAACGATTTCCACTATTCGAGATGTATATGTTGGGGAAGTAAAAGTTTACAAGATTATCTTGGCTATAGAATAGTCAAGTTGATCAGTTTGTAATGTAGAGTTTGACTAGAAGCTTACAATAAAAATTTATGAACTAACTATAAGTTCCAAATTCAAGCAATCAATAACAAAGACATTTGTATGTTGATCTATGAAAGGCTAATTCTTCTAACTATTTCTATTTAGAAATTAGAAGCATTTTAGTGGAAGCCTCGAAATAAGCCAACTAACGACTGACCACTCTATATTGTATTGAGTTTTGGATATTCGGTTAAGTTGAGTTGAATGGTGATGTTATCATTAAGTTTCAATGTAATTGTAAATTACTAGATCATAACTTTGTAATTCAGTCTATAGGAAGTTTTCAACATTAAAAACGATTTTTTCTGGATCTTGTTATTTCAACATCAATCTGATTCAAAACTAAAAGTTAACACCGTCATTTAATCCTGCTTAGCCAACTATTCAGAACTCAGAATAATTTAGAGTGATTAGTGATTAGTGGACTCATTTCAAGGCTTCCAATAAAACGTTTCTAACTTTTGAATGGAAACGGTTAGAACGATCAGTCTTCCGTAGATTGGCACACAAATGCCTTCGCTACTTATCGATTAAATTGGAACTCATAGTTGGCTCAGAAATTTTCGTTGTGGATTCTTGGTCAAAATCTATACTCAATACGAAAGGATCAAGCAAAAGATGAATGAATAAAATGAGATAAAAAAGAAACAACTTCCGTTTTTTTTCTTTTTTGACTACTATTTCTGTTCTGCTTCCCACACAACGACTAATAAGCTAGACTCATGTTAATCCTAATTTGTTTGTCGGTAACATTTTATTTTTCAAAATACACCAAAAAAAAACCGAAACAAGAGCGAAATAAAACATAAGTATATTTTAATAAAACAATATCGATTTTTGATGCTATACATTTTTCGTTTGATTCATAAAAAAAACTATCTCTTCATTCAAAGACGTGGCCTTACTATACCTTAGACGTGTTGTTTGACAAATAATTCTAAGTGTATTTGTCTTAGTTGAAAGAAACAAAAAGAAAAGATTGATAAAAGGCCTGACGTCATGTCAACAGATGCCATTAACTATCTTTGATCGTGTTTGTTCAATGACGCCCTCTATCTTACTTCAACACTCATTTGATACACTTTCTTATCTATGACTCATATCAAATAATTGTTTTCATTACACATTGACAATTAATTAATAGATAATTAAATAGAAAACATGCAATGTCTCTAATTCCAAATTCTTGGTATTGGAAACAATTAAAATTATCATTAACATGTTTTTTATGCTGTTTGCCGATTTTTCTTTTCTTTTTAATTCGTTTTTATCTTGCTTTAATAATATTTATTTTATGGTCAATAATAATTATCAAAAATGCTTATTTTAATCCACTAAGTCTTAATATACTCTATGCAAGGTACTGAATGATATAGAATTTATTATTCGATTGAACAAAAAAAAAAAACTTTTCATTAGATTTTTCTTCGAATATTTACTTGACAGTCCTGATCTTTTATCTCAACTTCGACCACTGTAAGTATTCATTCTAACAAAAAAAAAAATAGATTCTATTTTTTCTAATAGTGGTTTGGATTTATTTAATACACAATTACATGATTATTCAATATCATTTCATGAATATGAGAAAAAAAAATTGCAAAAGGAATTAACTTATCTTCATTCATTTAAAAATAAAAAAATTTCATCTGATCAAAGAGAATCATATGATGTTATGGAATATTTTTTGAATATGAATTTAAGAAGAGAACTTAGTGATGAATTTGATTATCATAATTATTTAATAAATCAAATGATGGGTCCTCAATTTGATATAATATCATTTATAACAAAATTTCATCGGATATTAAAATTAAGTGATGCTGAAGCTTATCTTATTCGCGTAAAGTTGTTTTTCGATGTTAATTGAATTGATTTAATGAATTTTGTTTGTCTTTTTTTAAAGGTCCAAAGAATATCAAAAGCATTTGATCAACTTATTGATCAACAATTAGAAAGACGTCATAGAAATATTGAAACACCTCGATTTGTTCTTCAAAGAGTTATTGATGGTCTTGAAGCATTTCAAAAACAATTACGAAATGAACCAAATAAAAGGTAGAACAAATCAAATTTTTATTATATTTCATTTGAATTTAATTTATTTTTAGTCCTTTAATTATTGCTCTCATTGATAAACTCAATGATAAAATTTGTTCAGTAAATATTCAAATAAAAAGAAAATATTTTCTTATAAAATTTTTTTGTAAAACTTTTAGAACGAAAAACAAAATGAATTGATTAGTAGTTTATTAAAAATTATTAAAATAAATATTATTCCTGCATATGATCGTTTATTAAATATTCTTCATGAAGATTTATCAAAAGCTAAAACAGATCATGGTGTTTGGAAATTACCAAATGGTAATAAATATTATAAATTATGTTTAGAATTTCATACCACAACAAATATGAGTCCAGATGAAATTCATGATCTTGGAAAAAAACATGTAGAAAGAATTCAAAATGAGATGAGAAGGTAAAATTATTTTTCTTGTTAAATTTCATCAACTATATAATTTAGTTGAGACAGTGGATACTTTGTATTCTGTAAATACAATCTTATTTATGTGATGATAGATATTAGTGAAATATTTTTGTAGAGAACTATCGAGGTGAGATACGATCCAACGTGCCACAACGAGATGGTAGATAATTAGAAGAAGATAATTGGTCAAAGATGAGAGATCAAAATAAATGTGAATGAGGTGAAAAATAGAGCCACTGAATGAAGTAGTTACGAAGAAGTACAAAAGTGTGAAATATATTAACTAACTAGGTCGTATAGAATGACCCGTAAAAGGCTGTAAATAATTCAAAAATGGAGAAATACAGTGATGAATGATGTTGATTACGATCATTATTTACATAACAGCGAAAATGACCATTATTGTGATTATCAGTTTTATCCTATTTTCAAGTCGTTATCACATAGAATCAGAAAAGTATCTCATAAACTTCATGAGAAAATATCTAATGATGTTTATGAGATAAATTTTAATGAACTAATCTACCATTTCTAGTTGAATCAATTTCTAATGTTCCATAGAGATGTTTTGCTGAGATAGAATTGCGTTTTACTCTTTTATCTTTGATTTTGTATTTTTTCGTAAATATCAGATCACGATTAACTTTTTTTTGAGTTAGTTTAAGCATCGATGATTAGATTTTGTTGAGATCTATTCGATTATATACGAAGTGCTCTACAAAAAACACCTCTATGTCTTGCCATACTATGACTAATATGATAGTAATATTGAGTTATCGAGTAAATGTATACATCTTCGCATATTCTTTATTTGCTCATTTTTTTCCATAGGTAAGTTCTATAGATAAAAGAGCCTATTCTTTTGTCTTCTAGATACTTAGTAGGAAGTTTATCCAAATTTTAATGTTGTTGCTCACCGCATATAGAAACAACAGTTCGTAAACGTTTAAAAACGAGCGATAAATGATTGTAATGATTTACTTGTTAAAAAAATACATCCTTGAAATTATAGGTTTTTTTTATTATCGAACTACTTTATCTAAAAAAGTGTTTAATGATACTTTCACGCACAGTAAGCATGATTATTGTATCTGTGTTTGGTCCTCTTTCATATGTGTGCTATGAATGCAGCTTTTGATGATAAATCCGTTTGCAGGAATGCTATGTATGTAACGAAATACTTCGTATGATAATAGAAAATATAAGTTGGATGCCATCTAGGGTGCAATTCGAATAACGAAAATAGTTCGTATGGAGCAAAAAATGGTGTAAATATGACAGTATTCAATGAAAATACGGTCTCAATGCTGTGCATCGTTTTTTGAGTGAAACCGTCTTAAATGACGCCGTTTACGTTCCAGTAGAAAATGGCAATCGTTTTTCATCATTGAGGGCAATAATCACATCATTTCTCCACCGTTTTAGGCAGTTTCAGATGGTCGGAATGACTAACTTGGATAATGGGCAACGAATAGTAATAATAAAAAAAACATGGACATGACAAGGAGTATAGATAACAAAGAAATCACAATCATAAATAAATCCACCAGAACTTGGACGAAAGTGTTTGTACATCGACGTAAATACTCTTGTATTTATACTTAAGTACAAAAACCTGCACTTTGTATCTTAGCTTCATTTAGGAAAGAACTTTTTTGTCTGGAAGTTTGCTTCTATGAACAAAAATATTAAAATAATACACAATATGAAAGTATTCGAATTAGTAAAATGAGTTCTATTTACATCGTTTTTGTGCAAATAATAATTAATTTCTGTGATCACCGATAATCTTTTTAATTGGTATAGAAAATATCAAAATTAATAAAAGAAAAACAAATAACTTTTTGTTAGAAAAAAAAAAAAAAATTGAAAAATTAAACAAATACAAGGACTGGGCCATAAATATCTTAATGATGCAATAACTTAATTAACTTCATTCTGCTCAAAGATGTTGGGCTGTTTTTTTTATTAATGATAGAGGAAGGTGTTCAAAGTTTTTACTTTTTCATAGGAAAATCTTAAATGAACATTGTTTTCAATTGTAGACTTTAACTTCAATACGGTAGTGTCACATTTTATACTAATATAAAATAACATAAACAGAATCATTTTGTGCATGCATTCTTTTTCCGATACATATATTCGATTGTCTCTCTTTGTTATAGTATTTTAAAAGAAAAACAAATTGAAAGTTGGTATGATTTTCGAACAAGTATCACAAATTTAGAACATGATATCGAACAAAAATATGAAAATATTGAAGAAAATCGAACAAAAATTCTTAATGATTATCATCAAATTATTGAAGATATTGATAATGAAATGGATAAATATTTTTCATCTGCATGTCGACCAGCAACAAAATGTGTTGTTGAACGTATACCTCAATTTAAAGAAGCAACAGCAGTAATAGCCCATTATTTTCCAGCAGCACTTGACGGTAAAACACCAGGAACATTTTTTGTAAATCTTCGTAATATTGATGAAATACTTAAATTTAAAATGCGTACATTAGCTTATCATGAAGCTGTTCCAGGTCATCATTTTCAAGTAAAACTAAACATTTAAATCATATTTATTTTTTTTGGTTTTGAATGAATTTTGTTTCAAGATCAGTGTAGCTCAATCACTTAAACATTTACCATTTTTTCGTCGTATGGTTCCTTTTACTGCCTACATGGAAGGATGGGCATTATATACAGAACAATTAGCAGCAGAAAAAGGATTTCATAAATCATGGTATAGTTATCTTGGATATCTTGATGCTCAGCTTTTTCGTTCATGCCGGTATAAATATTTATTAAATCTTTATAATAATTTCTCTTTTTTTTTTCTTTGTTATTAAGACTTGTTGTTGATACTGGTATTCATTGGAAACAATGGTCACGTGAACAAGCCATTGATTATATGGTGAAGATTTTCATAGAAAGTCTTTTTTTTTTTTACAGTGTATGTAAATTTCAGATTGAAAATACCTGCATGAAAAAGGAAGAAATTATTACAGAAGTTGAACGATACTTTGTATATCCTGGTCAAGCATGTGCTTATATGATTGGTTGTCAAGTAATTTTATCATTACGAGAAAAAGTACAAAGAGCACTTGGTGATAAATTTGATTTAAAACAATTCCATGATGGTATGAAATAACTAAGAAAATTTTAAAATCTATATAACTTTATGTTGCTGTTTTTTTTTGTTTTAGTGATTTTATTGAATGGATCATTGCCATTGAATATGTTGGAGAATATAATTGATGAATTTATTAAAACAAAAACTGAACATATGTGATAAACAATACTTTTCTAATTTCAATAAAATAATTCTGCCTTTTTTCTCATTTTTTTGTTTTTTCGTTTAGTTTTAACTGTGACTCAAAATAAAGTCTTGCATTTGAATACTGATAAGATAACTAATCAATGACAAATATAACTTATTATAAAGCTTATCAAAATAAATATGAAATTGAAAATGAAGCTAGAATTCAATTTTCAATTTTAATAACGAAAGATAATCTACAAAGATTTTCATCGAGTCAAGTTTTTACTCAGTGTATTTTCATATTAAATACAATCGTTACAGAAAAAATTTACTTAATATTTTAACTGTTTTGATTAATCACAATATGTTTAAATAATTTAATTTCTATCTCATTATAAATCAATCATATAAGTAATGACATTTTGTTTACGACTTTAAAGAGTTGTAATCTCTCATATGTGCACATAAGAAAAAGATATAACCTGTAAAACTCCAACTCATAGGCAGTAGTACCTCGAGGCTCGGATATGCTGAAGTTTATTCTAGATTCAAGTGTCGTAAGCAAGAATAGACGCAAACATTTGTTTCTCGTTCCATCAGTTTGACAGATTTATGCAGTGAATCGAAATTCTTACACAGATGTCAATATTTTCTACCTCCTTAGGTTGCAAATAATAATATTTTCGCACCGAAGCAGACTAAGAGAAAACATTCAATTTAGTATGAGTACATGTTGGGTGACCATACATCGCCAATGACTTGAAGTTAGAACGATAGCTACAACTCGAGTTAGATAAACTACAAGTTACCGAAAATATTTTTCGCTTTCAGTGGCTAAGCTAACATTTCTAAGAAATATTTTTGAACACAATGACCAAACTAACCTTGTAACTCGTTTTCTTTGTAAGCACTGCTGTTTGACCATTATTTAGTTTTTCGGTAAAGTAGATCGAAAACTCTTCTTTTAAGAGTTGCAATTAGATAAAAACAAATATTTGATATTTTTCTTTAAGTGTATGTTTTTCGACACGAATTGCGAATTTTTTTCTGAACTGTATCCGCTTTTTAGTAGTTCAAAATATGATTCGGAAATAAGAAGTACTAACAGCATTTCATCTAAATGACATGGAAAGATTCGTCCCTTTCTTCCATATTCTTAACTTCCTGGTATAGCTCTTATAATTTTTGTTGAGCCCATTCTAGATTCAGAAAAAATATCTATTGCCTATGCATACATATAGTATATTGTTAGTAATGTTATGCTTTTTGGAATCTTTGAAAATGACCTAAAGGTATATGAAAAAAGACGATTCCTATCAGAGTTGCTAGTCTAGCCAGCTATCTGGCAGGCAAGTGCCAGTCCAAGCCAAAGTTGTTTGTCGAGCTCGTAGTTTTGGAAAATCAAATGTTGATATATTGCGTTATTCTTCGACAGTATTGTGACAAAGTTATTCGATTCCAACAAAAGATGTTTGAACCGAACGTTAATTCAGAGTTGTAGAGCTGATTCTGACTGATAGAAGAACTTGTTTAGATTCAAACCAATTCGATAGTACATTTCGCGTTCGTATTGTTGTAAAAATTTGATTGTGAAATGCGAATGCCTCTGTCTGTTACTAGAAGTATCATTCATTGCGTACATTTTTTTTACCACTTCGTTGTATGCCTAATGGCATGTTGTTTTTGCTATCATAATAAGGTTTTTTGATTATGCGAAACAGCACTGATATAATCAGAAAAATTGTAGTAATTCAAGTCTTCCTTGTATGAAAAATATTTATAATAAATTTTGTCTTTGCTTTAATTTATTATTCGTGCAAGAGTTTGTTATTATCTTACCTTAATGGAAATAAATTGAGTAAAAAAACTGGAACTAAAATGAGACATTAATGCAGAGTTGTAGAATGAAATGTATTCGAAAAATCAGAAACATCAATTGGTTTGGTTTGGTCTGCAAGGCATTCTAAACTAGATCAGACTAAACCAGGCTACGGAAAAAGTATCCTGTTCAGGGGTGTCCTGGATGGAGAGGTAATCTCTCCCCAATCATGAAAAATTTTCGTCTTTTTCAAGCGAAACTGGGCAATTTTCTTTGCTTTTTTACTTACCAATCCTCGTAACAATAATCGAGCACTCCCTTCCTCACAGCAATCTCGGTGGCCTCAGACCACTCCTAAAGTGGAGAAAAAAAATTTAGCACACTTTGTATTTTCGACTTTTCTCTTTTGGCAATGTGTTTCGAGGACATCCGAAAAGTGATATGAATAGTCCTAAGTGTTCTCTATATACACTATGAATTTCATCAATTTTGGGTCAGGCATATGGGTACAGGATAAAAGACATTTTTTTGTTCAGGGGAAAAAAAGTTTAGCACACTTTTCAATCTTTTCACTATATTCTTCTAATAAAAAGGAAATGATGGAACTTTTTCTTAATACTTTTTGAATATATTTATTTTTGTATCTTAATCTGTATTATTCTTATGAATAAAAAAGCTGTTAATGCATATCCTCGAGCTCAGACGGTAGTATTATGTCAATCTGTTATGAATGTATCCAAAATCTCCCAACAACTCAATGTTTCGCGTACATGTGTCATGAATGCCATAAAAAGATATGACAAACATGGTGTATTCAGTGATTTACAACGATCTGGACGACCAAAGAAGCTAGGGTGTGGGTGTGAGTTAATTTATTTTCAGGCCTTCCAAAGATTCGTTGATAACGTCGAATCTATGAGTCTCATAAAAATTCTTAGCACAGATTTAGAAAGAGCACAAAATTCTGGTTCTTATTCAATGTTGTAAAATTTCTTCTGACTCTTCTAATCGATCGAAAAATGAAGGAACATTTTTCGACCAAAAACTTTTGGCCCACACGTTAATACGAAAAAGAACAAGTAATGGACTTATTATTCTAAAACTACAACATAGAACTTTTTGAAATTTTATTTCGTAAGTCTGTATGTAAAATTGCGTCACATTAGTAGAAAAAAACTCACACATGGCGCCATCTTAATGTTAGACGACCATTAAATGATGAAAAGAAAAGTAAGGTCTTGGCCTTGTTTACACTAGATAAGTTAATTCGGATTCAATACACTTTTCAGAGACGAATTTGACACATGACGTCATAGGAGTCACAAGTTGACTATCTCCAACTCATGCAAATCTTTTTTTTGTCTATCTTTCTGCTGTCGTACACTGACGTCATGATTTCTCTTTTCTGTTTTATTTGATATGTTGTTCTTTGAGAAACTTTCAAATAGGTTCTCCTTCTTTCTGTTCCATTGAAATAAATAAAGTTGTTTTGTTATAATTGTTCGAACAAAAATATGATTTGTCTTGACCTATTCTGTATTGCTTCTATATTCCTAATTCACAAAGCATAACTTTCTTCAATCGAAAATCTAAAAAGAAAATCGCCGAATACATAATGAATTTACAATAAAGCAAGCAACAAAACCAAAGTTGATTCATATGAAATTTTTATAATTTTTTGAATTTCTTAAAAATCACTCCCGTACTGAAATGGTTAATGGTACTTTACTGTATCCATAGTGTTGATAAACAAGCATGAAATTCTCTCATTTACAATTGGACTCTCTTGAACCATCTCGAATTTACTTTTTCTTTTTCATTCTTTTTCTTTTTCTTGTCTGTGTATTGTCGAGAATAAATTCTTCTTTCCTTTATCGTCTGTTTTATTTTAAGTTTCTTTACTTCATTCTCTTGTTTCATTACAATCCAAGTAAATAGTATGTGTAAAATGTCGTATTTTATTCTTTTTCATTTATCGTAAAATTGTTGTACATCATAGTCATACTCATGGTTTCAGAAGGCAAAGAGCAAGCTATTGAACATTTATCTAAAGCAGATTTAGCATTTATAGCTGTACTTATCAATGTAGAAGGTGGTCTCGCCAAAGGTCATGATAAACCAAGAAATTCATATGGATTAAAATTCGAAAATATTAAAATTGTACGTGGACATACGAATCGAACAGCCGATGGTACTCACTTCGAATATAGTCAAAGTCCAAAAGGTTTAAAATTTAAAATAGAAAATGAAAGTGATGAACAAATAAAACAAGCTGCTGAAGATGATGAAGTCAAAGAACCAAAAGAAGGTAACACTTATGTTGCTATTCTTAAAAATGAAAATAATATTGAAATTCTCGTTGAAATTAATCCTCATGATATCTCCGAAATTATTCAAAGTGCTCGAGATAAAGAAACAACGACTTAATCATCATTTAAATACTTGTGTATTTAATCATCTTTCTTTCTCTGAAATAATTGACGATGTTTTTTGATCACTTTTTTATGTATTGCACCAATAAAAAAAAATGAAAATTTATGAATGCTTATCACAATATTTCTATTTTATTCTGGCGTTTGTTTTTTTTGCGATTTTGTTTATATAAAATTGTCAATAAGTTTTCATGCAATCTCTTAAGTTATTATCTGGAACTCTTTAAACTCGTTTGAAAACGATAAATATCTACGAAATTATGATTCACATTGAAAATATTAAAGTATTGATTAATCGATATTGATTGTTTTTGAAAGAAATATTTTTCTTCAAGTTTATGACGGACAAAAAAAGATAGATAGTTAAAAAGAGTAATGCATTTATTTTTGTAAGATCAAATCATCGTTGTTCTATGTGAATTCTGGATTTAGTTTCTTAGTCAAACATGGAAGCTTTAAAAAGTGCATGTAACTCTACGCAAAAAGTTATGTGTATATGCACGTTTCACTTTCACAGAACATACACGTGCACGCGTAACCGAGTTTACTATATTTATTCTTACACAGATGCAAGGTCGCACATAATATTGTTGCATGTGAAAACAAAAAAAAATTCTTTTGTAAAAATTTCTCATGTGCGTACGGAAGAAAATAATAAAATGCTCAAGATAAAAAAAAACGTAGCACATGTAGCAGTCTTTATCTGATGTAAGATTTGAACATATTCTAGTGAATTCACTGACTTCAAGGTACCCTAATGCCACTATCCCAAAGAAACCTTAAAGTACTTTATGGTTTTTTTAGAATTTGACTATAGAATGCTTCTAAATATTTAATCTACTAACTTGTTGAAAAATTTTTCATAGAATGCTATAAAAACTGGATAGGTATGTAGTGCCGTTCAAAATTGATCGTACAATCAAAAGATATCATTGTTTTCCTAATATCTTAAGAGAGATTCAATGTATGGAAATGTGAATTTTGATAAAACGTAGCTCATGTTTCATAGTTCATTTGTGCCACGTATTACTTCTTTCTGTTGTAAAGTCACTGTACTAAATAAACAAATATTAAAAATGACGTCTTTCAGTTTGGCTCAAAGTTGATCGTACACTTCATACAAAAAAAAATGACGTAAACGTTCTATGATTTAGAAACGAAAAAGTATTCTGCACCGTGTTTCGACGAAGTTTTTCTCACTTTTACAATATAAACACGTTTGCAATGTGTTTTCTTTTTGAAATTGTAAGATGATTGTATTTTCATTGAGAGGTTTACGTGAATCTTTTGTGTGAAATGTATGACCAATTTTGAACCAAATCAATGGGCATTTTTTTCAGTAGTTTTTATCTAGTACAACGAGTTCACAGCGGAAAGAGATGATAATTGATGCAAATAAACTATGAAACATGAGCAACATTTTGCCAAAATCTGCACTACAGTATATTGAACCTCTCCTAAAATATTAGGAAAATAATGTTATCCTTTGATGGTATGTCATCAATTTTGAACGCCACTGTATCTACTTATTCATATAGGATTTATCGTTTCAAAACATAGAAATAGAATGAGAAGAACAATACTAAGGATAAGTATCTTCAAGATTAACTTTATAAATACTTGCGGATCAAATATTAATATATATATTTTTTCTTGTTATTTTTGAATTGACGTCGCCATCTAATCAGATGTCGCTTCAGAAATTTTTATCGAATTTAAGGGACTCGTTATGACAACAAATATACAAAATGCCAGAATGATTTTATATGTACTTGAATAAACTTTTTCTTTTTATTTCATATATACACATAAGAAGAGTAAGCGATGGCTGATGGTGGTATGTTACCGTCATCAACCCGTTCAACCAATTTTCGTTATGGTAACATTGATCAAAATCGTTTGATGAGTCGACTTATTTCACATCCACTCAAGTCGATTCAAGATGATAAAACTAATACTCCGCAACCACCCGGTGGTGATCATTATCGGGCCCATTGGAATAAACAGACACCTGCCGAACATAAATTTGAACCATTACCAGTACTTAAACGATATCAAAAACACAATGATCCAAAAGAAATTCAAGCACGTAACCGACAACAATTAATTCAAGCTAATAAATTGCGTGTATCATCTCCTGAATCACCACTTGAGAAACGTGCGAAACTTTCCTTACCACCAGTATGTTAATAAAAAAAAATCATAATTTATTTATTAAACTATTTCCTATTATTTGAAATAATTTAGATTAATGGTCGAACATCAGATATGGGTAAAGGAAGTGATGCTGGTTCCGATTGGGGTTCAAGTGTATCTGTTAAACGACGTCAACTTGATCCACGAGGTATTCAACAAAATTAATTGTTTTTTTTTTTGTTGTTGAATTATCTTTTTTTTGTTCTATTTCAGAAATGTTACATGGTGAAACAGATATAGGTAAAGTAATCAATTACATAAAACAAGCACCTGATGGCTTCTTTCTATATTTGGCTCATTCATATTCACGAAACGATACACGACATAGTTATTATAATTTAAAGTTCGCTTCTATTTTGTTTTTCCTCATCATCAATTTATTATTTCTAAAATATAATTTACTTTTTCAGAGTAGTTAGTTATGAACAATGTGGACGTGAATATTTTACTATATCCAATTCAGGTGTTAGTTATTATCGTCCAGGAGAAGAAGTTGAATTTACTCCATTAGAAAACTTTGCTAAAGAATATTATCGATATACTCGACTTGTTCAGGTAAAATACTCATATTTAATTATTTCTAGTAATTAATTATTAACATAAATTTTAATTTAGATAAAAGTCTTTACAACATTCAGGTATATGTTTTGATTTTATTATCTAACGAGAGAATTACTCCAATCGACACCCACCGTTTGAGTTCATATTGGGCCCACAAGTATGCCTCAGTGAGACCAGCAAAAGCTTAAAAGAATTCGTTCCTATAGACCTTTGTCGCCAAGTTATGATCGGTTTACTGAATTTTCGATTCATTTATAAGTAGTTCCAAAAAAAATCAAAAGACAAAATTTCAATCTAAAATTTTGCACCCATAGACAAGTCTAATGGCTCCTAGAATGTCCTGGAATTTTCAGTCGAAAAGAATGTTCCTTTGGCAAGATATTGAATTTCAAAAAACAGCCTTTGCCATAGACATGTCACAAAAATTGAGTTTACTTAAAATTTCAATAATTCGACAAAGGAACATTCGTTTCGACTGAAACTTTCAGGATATTCTAAGAGTCATTAGATCCATCTATAGACAAAATTTAGAATGAAAACTTTATTATACCGTCTTTCTGAGATTATCTAAAAATGGCAGTAAACATGTCATAGCTCGATGCCAAAGGTCAATTGGGACGAGCTATTTTAAGCTTTTACTATTCTCACTGACACCTGTCTGTCTATTTAATATGATCTCAAACGGTGGGTGTCAATTGGAATAGTTTCTTTGTAAGATATAAGTAAATAAATATTTTCTTTTTTCAAGAATGTGGAAAGCATTTATGGTTTGGTATAAAAATATTCGTGTCAAGAAAGTAACTCATTCAGCAAAAGCACTCAATGATAATTTATTTTTGTTACAAGATGTAAATAATAAAGATTTTTTTTTAAAGAAGTAAATTTCTTTTTGTTTTTGTTTCATAATATTTATCTATAGGCATTACGACCTGCTTTATTAAATATTCGAGAAATGTGCTTTCGTATAAGTGATATGAGTCTTTGTAAAATTGAAAAGAAACACACATATACATTAAATGAAGTAAGTAGAAATTTCTTTATAATCTAATAGAATTAATCTTATCTTAATTTTGTTTTTTAAATATAGTTTAGTGATAGTCAAAATCAAACATTGAGTCAAGTTGCAGCACGTCTTCAAGAATTTCGTGATCTTGTTAAAGATGTTGTTGCAAGTGCTTGTCGAACACGTTTATTTGAAGCTGGTTTTGTACCAGATGATTTTCTTCATCCAACTGATTCAACACATGGTATTTCTATGAAATTTATTTTTTTTTTTTGTAAGATTTTATAATCAATTATTTTTCTTTCTTTCTTTCATAGATAATCTAACTGCTAATGGTTTTGCAATGCCAGATAGTATGGATATTGATACATTAGCACAACCACCTGATAAAGCAACATATGCTGAACAAGCAAATAAACGATCACATTGTCGTCGATTAACAAAGTAAGTAAGAAAATTTTTATATCTTTTATTTATTATTTCATTTGAATAATAGTTTTATTCGTTTATGTGATTATTTAATTGTTAATACATTTCATGTACTTGCTGTTAATTCAGTACAATCACTTAAAAATCATTTTCTTGAACAACTTGAAGCTACGCCAAGTAAAGATGAAATTATTGGATATGTTGAAGAAATCAAACATAAAGTTGATAAAACAACAGCAGCTGAAGGTACTGAAGAACCACCGGCTGAAAATAAACAAGCACAACAACCAGCACCAGGACATCCACCACCAATACCTGCTATTCGACCACCAGAAGTAAAAATTCCATAAGAATATCAATTCATTGTTAAATTGTTCTTTTATTCTTTCATAGGAAGATGAAGCAGCTAAACGTCATATACCATTATTTGTTACTGAAATGAAATTATTTATTGAAGCTATTCAATATCATCCAGATTCTATAACATTTCAAAGTGGTTAGTATCAATCGAAAGAAAAACAGTAGAGACTTCAAGATTAAAATTTTCTGCTATTTCTCCTTGGGTATAAATAGAAAATTTAAGAATATTCTTATTCTTTCTATTCAAGGTATTCATCATGTTATTCAAAGTTTTCAAGAAACATTACTTTCAATTGATAATCTCATACCTGATACAACATTTGATAATTTTACTCGACCATATATCAATGAAAAATATGAAGAAAAAATATGTGGTATGATATCTTTGTTTTGTTTTTTCTTTAAAAAAAAACAATCATGATTATTAGGTGATGGACCTGATCTTCGTAGCATGTTTACAGCTGATTATCATTTTCAAGATTTAGTCAAAGATTGTAGTGATTCATTAGAAGCTGGTTTTAATGCAGCAAAAATTTATGCAGATACATTTGATGAATTTCATCAATTTTATGTTGAAAATGAAAATACTGATATTGAAGCACTTAAAAATGAACCTCATGGTATTATTTCTTAATATATAAAACTATATTAATTTTTATTTGATTCTTTTTTTTGTTTTTTATTTAATAGATGTTGAATTTTTTGCTACTTCATTAGCAAAATATACTCGTGAAGAAAAAATTGCACAATTAATCGATGTTAAAAAACCTTTAGGTCTTTTAATGATTGATAGTACACATACAAAAACAAAATTAGAACCATCACCACGAAGGTAACAAAAAAAAAATCGCAACAAAGAATCTTTCATATCAATTAATTGTATGTTTTGTTTTTTTTTATTTATTTATTTGTAAAGACTATTGGATGTTATTAATGAAATTTTACCGAAAATTGCTAAAGCTAAAACAGATTCATTGAAATCTGAAGCTCAAGATGCAACAGTTAAATTAGAAACAAAACCTGAAACAACAATTGATTTTGTTGATTCATTAACATTTCTTGATGAAATTCAAGAACGTATTGATCCACTTGAACAAGAAGCTGAAATTGTTCGTCAAATGTACGAATTAATTGAACAATATAATGTACCATGTCCACCTGAAGATATTGTATCATACAGTTCATTAACAACAACATTAAATGGTTGTCGTAATGCTATGGATAAAGCATTAACTGAACGTGATGCTAATGTAACAAGATTTGTTAGTTTACTTGATAAAGATATTGAAATTTTAACACAAGAAGTTCGTCAAATTAAACAAGATTCACAAAATCCTTTATTACTTGATCCAACAGCTGATAAAGATAAAGTTAAATTATTATTAGATGATTATATTAAAAAAATTGAATTACAACAACGTCAATCAACAGAATATCGTTTATATCAAAAGAATTTTAAAGTTGAAGTAACGAAATTTGATGAATTAGAAGAAGTTTATGGTGAATTAAAATTAAAAGAATTATTATGGAATTCATTAAATGAATGGGATACTATGTTAGAAGAATTTCAAAATATTGATTTTAATAAATTAGATCATGAACAATTAAATACAATAGTTAATAAATATGGAAAATATGTTTATCAATTAGAACGTGGTTTACCACCAAATCAATCAGTACCTATATTAAAAGAAAAAGTCGAATCACTTCGAGCTAAAGTATGTTCAAACGAAATATCGAACAATTTTATCAGATCTCGAAATGAGTTGTCTGCCCCCTCCCCAAAGAGATTTTTCTTCCAGGCCGCTCGGCTAACCGAGATTTTTCCTTCGCCCTGAGCGCACTCCCAGATCAGAGAGACTTTTTGAGCCGGACAGGCCTAAACTTTTGTCTTTAAAGCTGAAAAGTAAAAACTAAATAGCGATATTATTCTGATTTTTTCGTCAAAATTTCTTACATGGATATCGTACCTTGCAACTGACAACAATCAGGAATCTTCATAATATTTAAGAATACGAATTTTTTTAAAATCTAACTTATATTAATACATATAAGATTGAATTTATATAAAAAAAAAATTTTTGTTTAGTTACCTACTATAACAAATCTTCGAAATCCAAATCTTCGTCGTCGTCATTGGGATGTTATTGAAGATTTAATTAAATTTCGTAAGTTTGTTTGAAAAATTTTATAGTAAATAAATTAATTTTTGTTCTTATTTTAGATCCATCAGCAGAAGAGCCATTAACATTAGGCAAATTAATTGATATTAATGCATTTCAACATGAAGAACGACTTCAAGAAATTTCTGGTCAAGCTAGTTCCGAAGCTAGTCTTGAAGGCATTCTTAAACGAGTAACTTTTTTTCTTTATCTTTTTTTTACTAAAACAAATATTTGTTTTTTCTTAGGTTGAAGATTCTTGGAAATCTGTTGAATTTCCAGTTGTTCCATATAAAGATTATAAAGATGTTTATATACTTGGTGGTACTGATGATATAATTCAATTATTAGATGATGCAAATATAAATATAGCAACAATTGCAAGTTCACGTCATGTTGGTCCAATACGATCACGTGTTGAAGAATGGCAATCAAATCTTGATTTATTCAATAAAACACTTGATGCATGGTCAAAATGTCAAAAAACTTGGCAATATCTTGAATCAATATTTGGTGCGCCAGATATTCAACGACAATTACCAGCTGAAGCTAAAATGTTTAATCAAGTTGATAAAACATTTAAAGATGTTATGAGAAAAACAAATAAAATTCCATTAGCTATTAAAGCTGGAACACAACCTGGTTAGTTAAAAATTTTTAAATAAATTGATTAACAAATAAAAAATGATTCTTTATTTATTTTTTTCTTTTAAGGTTATTTGGAATTATTTCAAACTAATAATGCATTACTTGATCAAATACAACATGCACTTGCTTCTTATCTTGAAACCAAACGTTCAAATTTTCCACGGTAATTTCATAAAAATATTGTCATTGTAATTTATTTATTTTTCAAATTATTTTTTTTTTTTACTTAGATTTTACTTTTTATCTGATGAAGAATTACTTGAAATTCTTGCACAAACACGAAATCCATTAGCTGTTCAACCACATTTACGTAAATGTTTTGAAGGTATTAATCGTCTTGAATTTGCAGCTAAAGGTGGTGAAGATATGGAAATGACTGTTACAATGGCACCAGAAATTCGTGCTATGTTTTCACCTGAAGGTGAACGTGTTGAATTACTTAAAGTAAAAGCAACTGGAAATGTTGAAGATTGGCTTAAACAAGTTGAAAAAAATATGATTACAGCTGTTCGATCATGTATTAAAAAAGCTAAAGATGATTTTGAAAAAAGTATTCGTGAAGAATGGCTCGTTCGACATCCACATCAAGTAAATTAATCATAAGAAAAAAAATATATATAAATATAAAATTCTATTATAATAATATAATTTTTTTTTTTTGTTTGTATTCAGAGTGTTCTTACTGTTTCTCAAACATATTGGTGTGTAGCTTTAACACAAATTTTAACTAGTGATGAATCAATACGACATAAAAATCTCGAAGATTTTGAACGAAAAAGTTATACAGATTTAAATAAATTAGCTGCACTTGTTCGTCAAGAATTACCACAAGTAATAAAACTAAACTAAAAATGAAATCGATTTCTAGGTTTTTAATTTTTCATTAATTATTTTTATTTAGCTTGTTCGTGATGTTTGTCGTGCATTAATTACTATTGATGTACATGCACGTGATATTGTTTCTGAAATGGTTCAAATTGAGGTTTGTTAAATTATTCATCAAAATCTGTTTCATTTTAAACAAAATGTTTGTTTTTTTTTATTTTGTTTTACTCTCTATTAAAGAATGCTAGTATAACAAGTTTTGAATGGTTAAAACAATTACGTTATTATTTTGAACAAGATTTAACTGTTATTCGAATGGCAAATTCACAATATATTTATGGTTATGAATATCTTGGTGCATCTGATCGTCTTGTTATTACACCACTTACTGTTTGTTGATTTGATTTTATAGAAATTTTTCAATTGTTTTATTTATTTAATTAGGATCGATGTTATTTATGTTTAATGGGTGCATTACAATTAGATCTTGGTGGTGCACCAGCTGGTCCAGCTGGAACAGGAAAAACTGAAACAACTAAAGTTAGAAAAACAAATATTTGAATGAAATATTTTTGTATGTATGTTTCTTCTTAGGATTTAGCTAAAGCTTTAGCTAAACAATGTGTCGTTTTTAACTGTAGTGATCAAGTTGATTATAAAGTTTGTTGAAATCGAACATGAAAATTATATTGTTTATTTTATTTTATTTTTTTCTATTAAATAGATGATGGGTCGATTTTTTAGTGGTTTAGCTCAATCAGGTATGTCTATTTTTGAATTAATAAAGAAATGATAAGTTTTATGAAATACGATTTAAAAGGAGTGCTGAAGTGCATAGCATAGAAATTTGCATCGTCTCTTCTTCCATTCTCGAGGTTTCCGGAGAATGACCCATTAGAAAAATTTGAAATTTTTAGAACAAGTAAATCTTAATGAGTAGAGTAAAATTTGTCATAGATTCAAAGTTCTTGGATGTTGTCCTCTATGAAATAGTGGAATCACAACAGCAAAAAGTAAAAAGATAATGAAGAAATATGCCCTAAAATAAAACAATCTCACTGTAACTAGTAACAGCATCCTTATCATCTTTTACCTTTTAAGCCCACAGGGATTTTTTAACAATTTTTTTTATAAATTATTAGGTGCATGGGCATGTTTTGATGAATTTAATCGAATTAATATTGAAGTACTTAGTGTTATTGCTCAACAATTAATTACTATTCGTGATGCAAAAGCAGCAAAAGTATAAAAACAAAAACAGTTGTTTTTTTTTTCAAAATCATTTTAAAATTTTATTTTATTTTAGTTATCAACATTTATGTTTGAAGGTCGAGAAATTCGACTTATACCAACTTGTGCCGTTTTTGTAAGTCTTTCTTCCAAAGACATTATTTTCATAAATTCTTTTTTTTTTCTATTAATTAGATTACAATGAATCCAGGTTATGCTGGTCGAACAGAATTACCTGATAATTTAAAAGCTTTATTTCGACCACAATCAATGATGGTTCCTGATTATCGTCTTATTGCTGAGGTTATTTTATATTCTGAAGGTTTTGAAAATTCAAAAGTTTTAGCACGTAAAATGGTTCAAATGTATAAATTATGTTCTGAACAATTATCTCAACAAGATCATTATGATTTTGGTATGCGTGCTGTTAAATCAGTTTTAGTTATGGCTGGTGTATTAAAACGTGAAAGTCCTAATATTGATGAAGATCTTGTTTTAATTCGTGCTTTACGTGATTCTAATTTACCGAAATTTTTAACTGATGATGCTATCTTATTTAAAGCTATTATACAAGATTTATTTCCAAATGTTCTTTTACCAGAACATGATTAGTAAGTAAAGAATTTCTCTCGATGGGAATAAATAGAAAGAGTATAAAGAAAAAAAAAAAAAAGGAACATTTGAAAGTGAGTCGGACTACTTAGATAAGAAATTTTGAAAAACCAATTTGCTGAATTCTATCCAGAAAAATGAAACATTCCCAATCTCTCAATAATAATTTCTTTATCAAACTGTATTCAATTCATGGAAGATTTTAAACTGTCAAACATGATAGAATTATTATAGTTTTCAAAGATGATTTTTCTTATGTATGTTTGGCGTATCACATAAAACCATTTTCCAAAAGTTTAGGACAGAAGTCAGAAAACCAGTTTTTATGGTCTTGATTTTCCCAAAGATCCGCACTTTAACAATTTTATTAGATTTTTCAATCTATTCCCAGCTATTACTATTGCGAAAGAAACTTAAAAATATAACTACTCTAAAGCTTTATCTTCTATTCGATATATCTATATATGTGTGTATAAAGCTGAAATTTTTCATGCGCTTTTATTTTTGAGTATTATGAATTTTTTAGTGGTGAATTACGTCGTACAATAATCGATGTACAAATTCGTCGTGGTTTACAAACAGATGAATCTCAACTACGTAAAGTTATACAATTTTATGAAACAATGCTTATTCGACATGGTGTTATGTTAGTTGGACCAACATTAGGTGGAAAAACAACTGTATATCGAATATTATCTGATTCATTAACAGATTTACATGCAAATGGTGTTCAATATCATTTTTATCAACCTGTACATACATATGTACTTAATCCAAAATCGATTACAGCTGGTGAATTATATGGTGAATTTAATAAAACAACAATGGAATGGAAAGATGGTCTTATGGGTAGTAGTGTTAGACAATGTGTTCAAGATCAATCAAAAGATCATCATTGGATTATTTGTGATGGTATATTTTATTAAGATTTATTGAAAAATAAAAGTTTTGTTTTGTTTTGTTTTGTATTCTTCTAGGTCCGGTTGATGCCGTTTGGATTGAAAATTTAAATACAGTACTTGATGATAATAAAATGTAAATATATTATTTGGTTTCTTTTTTTTTTTTTTTTATAAAACACGATCTAAAAGGAGTATTGAAGTGTAGGGAGAAGAATTTGGACTCCTACAGATGAACTATTTCCTTATTGTATTTCTATAAAGGATTAACTAAAAGTATGTTGAAGAAATTTATCTCAAAATAGAAATAATAAGACAGTCCCCTCTATGATTGCAAGGATTACGCTAACAATTTTTTTAAAATATTATATGACAAAGTTTTATTTTCCTCTTCATAGGTTATGTTTAGCTAATAGTGAACGTATTAAATATACACCTTTTATGCATATGGTTTTTGAAGTACAAGATTTAGCTTGTGCTTCACCAGCTACTGTCAGTCGGTATGTTTTTTTTTTCAATTGAGTTCAATTTTATTTCTGCATAATTGATATTTTGTTATTTTAAAGTTGCGGTATGGTATATATTGATTCAAATGATATACGATGGCATCCATATGTTAAAACATGGAGTCGAAAATTTGAAGAAAAATTTGGCGAATTATATACAGAATATCTTTTAAATTTATACAATACTCATATTGATAAAGGTCTTACTTTCATAAGAAAAAATTGTAAAGAAGTTATTAAACAGGTACGATAAAAGATTGAAAATTATTATGATATAAGATTTTAAGTTTTTTTTTTTTTAAAAAATTATTTTATGTGAGCTTTGATTTAGTAGTTGAATATCTTTAAGACGAACTCAAAAATCAATTGTAATTAATCATAAATGCATATTAGGAGAGTTGGCTTATTCAAAGATATAATAAGATGCCCACAACAGAGCCCGTTGCATTCAAAATTTTCTAACCCGAATAGGGCAGTTACCCTGAAGATACTTGATACTTTTTTTCCAGATTTTTGTATTCAGTTACTAGGACAGCCTACATATTTCTCAGATGACTAGAACCCATCGGATTCAGAAACAACCCCACGAGTGCTAGCCGGCAACTCAAAATTTGAGCAAAATATTTTTGAAATATTCGAACAATATTTTCGTAGCGAAATTTAGGCAAAAAAAAGCCTATAAAAACTTTAATATACCAACAGTATCAAGTCTCTCTAGGATTGATATGGCAGAATATCATGAATGCGGATTCGTATTCAGAGATTTTGACCATGAAAACTTGTTTCAAATGCAACCAACATTATATTTCGAACCAGCATAAAAATCAGCGTCGAATAGAATACTCATTCCATAAAATCAGTTTTCGTCAAATTTTGATCTTAGGAGGAGAACCACAAGTTAGGCTAATCGAAAAGATCCATAGGAGGACGACAGGGCTGAAATTTGATGAAAATTAGTTTTCAATACTGAGTACACTTTTCGATGTGAATTTTTATGTTGATTCTGAATATGAATTCGTATTTATGGTATTTTGCTATCATAGCGAAAAAAACCGATTTTCTCAACAATTGAACCATATTTTTCAAAAAGAATGCATAGATGTTTTTTCCTAATCATATGACAAGTACAATAAAAAAAAAGACGTATCGAGACTTGATGCTCTTAGCGTATTTCAAGTTTTATTGGTTTTTCTGTTGTTTTTTTCTAGTATAAGTTTCACGACAAAAAAAAAACATGTAGTTTTATTTTTATATGAATCTCGAAAGTTGAAATGATTTTTTGTTTCTTTAGGTTGATATTGCTAAAGTAATAACATTATGTTGTTTAATTGATTCCTTATTAACAACTGATAATAAAATTGATCTTAAATTAGAAGAAGCTAAACTAAAAATTATGATTGCAACAACATTTGTATTTTGTTATGTATGGAGTATTGGTGGTAATATAATATCAAAAGATTGGGATCAATTTGATACATTTGTTCGACAACAATTTGATGAAGATGCTGATGCTAAATTAGGTCAAGGTGGTGATTTATTTTCATATGAAATTGATGTACATCATCGTCGAATGGAAACATGGGAAAAAAGTGTACCGGCATTTAAATATGATAAAACAAAACCATTTTTTGATTTACTTGTACCAAATATTGATTCATGTCGTTTTGGTTATTTACTTGAAAAATTAGTTTCAGTTAATAAATCTGTTTTATTTACTGGTGAAACAGGTGTTGGTAAAACAGTTATTGCACGTGCACAATTATTAAAATTAGCTGATGAACAAAGTATAGTACCATTATTTTTAAATTTTTCAGCTCAAACAAGTAGTAAACGAACACAAGAAATGATTGTACCAAAATTAGAAAAACGAAAAAAAAATGCTCTAGGACCACCAAGAGGAAAACGTATGGTTATATTAATTGATGATCTTAATATGCCTAAACTTGAAACATATGGTGCTCAACCACCAATGTAAAATCTTTTAGTTTGTTTTTTTTTCTTCTCTTAATTTTTTTTTTTTTAGTGAACTTTTACGACAATATCAAGATTTTGGTGGTCTTTATGATCGTGAAACATTAAAATGGGTTGATATTCATGATGTTATTTTATGTGCTGCATGTGGTCCACCAGGTGGTGGTCGTAATCCAACAACAGCACGTCTACTTCGACATTTTGCTATATTTGCTATACCAGCACCATCAGAATATAGTCTTAAACATATATTTAAATCAATTCTTAATGGTTATTTAGCTGATTTTAATCAAAGTACAAAAACAGCTGGAGATGGTATTATTGATGCAGCTGTTGAAATTTATCTACGTATGAGTGCTGAATTATTACCAACACCAACAAAATCTCATTATGTATTTAATTTACGAGATTTATCAAAATGTATTCAAGGAATTTTACAAGTAAGAATAAAAATTTTTCTTTTTTAATATATTGAAATTTTAATTTTTTTTTTTTTTATTGAATAGGTTAAACCAGAAAGTATATCTGATCGTGATGGTTTAGTACGTGTATTTTTTCATGAATCAATGCGTGTATTTCATGATCGTTTAATAAATGATGATGATAAACAATATTTTCATACAATGCTTTCAGAATTATCTACACGTTTATTTGCTATACAAATTGAACCAACAACATTTGTTCAAAAACCAATTATATTTGGTGATTTTATGAAAGTTGGTGCACCAAAAAATGAACGTCTTTATGAAGAAATAACTGATATGAATAAAATTCGAAATATTTTACAAGATTATCAAGAAGATTATAATTTAACAAATAATAAAAATACACGTCTTGTTTTTTTTATGGATGCTATTGAACATATAGCACGTATAGCTCGTATTATACGACAAGATCGTGGTAATGCATTATTAGTTGGTGTTGGTGGTACAGGAAAACAATCATTAACACGTCTTGCTAGTCATATGTGTGGTTATAAATGTTTTCAAATTGAATTATCACGTGGTTATAATTATGATAGTTTTCATGAAGATTTAAAAAAATTATATGAACAAACTGGACCAAATAATCAAAATACGGTTTTTCTATTTACAGATAATCAAATTGTTGTTGAAGAATTTCTTGAAGATGTTAATAATATTCTTAATTCAGGTGAAGTACCAAATTTATTTGATAAACAAGATGAATATGAAAAAATGATTATTGGATGTCGAGTAAGTCAAAAAAAAAAAATAAGAAAATATTGAACAATTTGTTTGTCTTATGTTTCATAGCCTGGTGCAAAAGAAGCTGGTGTAGCAGAAAATGATCGTGATGGAATTTATACATTTTTTATAAATCGTGTTCGAAATAATCTACATTTAGTTTTATGTATGTCACCAGTTGGTTCATCATTTCGAACACGTTGCCGTATGTTTCCATCACTTGTTAATTGTTGTACAATTGATTGGTTTTCTGAATGGCCACGTGAAGCTTTATTATCTGTTGCACATACATCATTTGAAAAGTATCCATGGCCAAAAGGTGAAGAATTTATGGTTAAATCATTAGCACAAATGTGTGTTGAAATACATATGAGTGTATCAACAAAAGCAAGACAATTATTATCTGAATTAAGACGATATTATTATACAACACCAACATCATATCTTGAATTAATTAATTTATATTTAATGATGCTTAATGATAAGAAAAAGTAAAAAAAGATATTTTGTTAATTGAATTGTTCTTTTTTTTGTTTTGTTTTATAGAGAAATTGATAATGCACGTGCACGTGTTGAACGTGGTTTAAAAAAATTAGAAGAAACAAATGTACTTGTTGACGAGATGCAATTAGAATTAGTTGCATTAGAACCACAATTAAAAAAGAAATCTGATGAAACAGCTAAACTTATGGAAACATTAGCTATTGATCAAGAAAAAGCTGATGAGGTATAAAATTTTGAGGAAAAACAAAAAAAAATTTAAAGAAATACTTTCTTTTAATGTCTTTCAAAAAAAAGTGTTTTTTTTTAAACTTATTCAGTTATTATATTTTTGTATGGTTTTTAGCACATAGAGCAAAAGAAAAACATGTTTCAATTGACTTAATTTTCGATATCAATTTAACATTGAAAATAAGAAGTCGTATTAGAATTTCGAGGAAAACAATATAAAATAAAAGTTATTAGTGCAATCTTTGCAAGATTAAAATGTGAAACACGATGTAATTATTGTTACTATTTACAGAAACATTGTTTTATTCTATCTGTTTTGGAACGCATTTCTTCAATATCCTTTTACTTGATCATTCAGCACTACAATAAGGAAATAGTGCATTTATTATAATATCTATAATGCGACGGAGCAGGGATGTCGAAATTTCTACCCCCATACTTCAACACTCATTTTAGATCGTGTTTCACAAAATATGATACGAGCTCAATATGTGTAATAATGATTGTTGACCGTAGACTAAAAACTGAGGTCTTTGTTTGACTTTTTCATTTGCTAATTTTTATAATGATGAATTGTAATATTGATCGTATGAAAAATCAGTTGCAGGTTTTTTTTGGTTTTTCGTCAATAGGTTTTATAAAATGTTTTGTTCTTTTAACTATTAAAAACTGAAGGAAGCTTTTTTTTGATAATGAGAGAAACCTGATCATAAAAATAAAGATTCTTGACCTATAGTATGCTCATACAGTACTTTCAAAAAAAATACTGTTTTTTCCTATAGGAATGTTCTATCTTAACGGCATGAATTTACTACTTTTATTAGTTGATGTTAGAAGAGTTTTTTTTTTATTAAACAAAAAAAAATCAATAAAAGCAAACATTTTGTAGTTTTTCGATACTTACACATTTTCTGTTTCATTATAATAATTATTTGCTTAAATTTTATTCCGAGTTTAATAGAATTATTCATGTCATAATAACAATATATTCTTTATGATTTCATCATACACCTAATTCATTGGATGGTTTCATCAGACAGTTTGGCGTCATACTAAGCCGTACCATTCAAAAAGACAAAAATTCATGTTTGTATTCATAATCAGACAAAATTTTCAAAAATGACAATTAAAAGTTTATTAATTTAAAAAAAAATCTATCAGATCATCTGAATCTAAGAATACGTTCTTTATTTGACTTTGAAAAGTTAAAAGATTATCTAATAATTGAACATATTATTATTTACTCTTGTATGATAACAATCAATATTATAATGCTTTTGATATATATATAGGTACGTCGTGTTGTCATGGAAGATGAAGCTGTTGCACGTGTGAAAGCTGAAGAAACTCAAGCAATGAAAGATGATGCTCAACGTGATCTTAATCAAGCATTACCAGCTGTTGAAAAAGCTAATGAAGCAATTGGACGTTTAAAAAAAGAATCTATTGGTGAAGTTCGAACATTTACTAAACCACCTCATATGGTTGAAGTTGTTATGCAAGCTGTTTGTATTATGTTTGAAAAGAAAAAAGTAAATCTTTATTTTTTTTTTCTTTTGATAAGAAAATATTGATTTTCACATATATATATATATATTTTCATCGGATTAGGATTGGCCATCAGCTAAACTTTTACTTGGTGAGGCTGATCTTATAAATCAAATTCGTAATTATCCAAAAGATAATATTCCTGAATCAGTTTTACGTGATTTAAAACCATATATACAAATGTCAAATTTTAATTATAAAGATATATTACAAAGTTCAGTTGCATGTGCAAGTCTTGCTGAATGGGTTATAGCTATGGATATGTATGCAAAAATTTCTAAAGAAGTTGAACCTAAACGTAAACGTGTTGCTGCAGCTGAAGCTGATTTACGTGCTGTTACTGACCAATTAAAAAAGAAACAACAACAATTACAACAAGTTGAAGCTAAAATAAAAGAACTTCAAGAATCATATGATCATCAAGTTGCTGAAAAGAAAAAACTTGAAATATCAATTATGCAAACACAATCACGTTTAAAACGTGCATCAAAATTAACAACAGCATTAGCTGATGAACAAATACGTTGGAAAGAAAATATTAATGAATTTAATGAACAAATGAAAACTGTTACTGGTAATGTATTTGTATCATCAGCATGTGTTGCTTATTATGGAGCTTTTCCAGCATTATATCGACAAGAAGTATGATTTATTTATTTATTTTTTTTGTATTCGTTGCCAAGAAAAGAACTTTTTTTTTGTTTTCAGCTTGTCGAACTTTGGGTTACTGGATGTAAAGAACATAAAATACCTGTATCAGATAATCCATCAATTATAAATGTACTTGCTGATGCTTTTTCAATTCGACAATGGGTTACACAAGGTTTACCACGTGATGATTTTAGTACAGAAAATGCTATACTGGTTACAAAAGGTCGCCGATGGCCTTTGTAAGAAAGATTTTTTTTTTTGAAATTTTTTGTTGATTTATTTGATAAATATCTCATATTTTTCTTTTTTTTAAGAATTATTGATCCACAAGAACAAGCAAATCGTTGGATTAAAAATAAAGAAAAAGATAATGCATTAAAAGTTATTAAAATGACTGATGGACACTTTTTACGTATATTAGAAAATTGTGTTCGTATTGGTATGCCTTTATTATTAGAAGATGTTGGTGAAACACTTGATCCAGCATTAGAACCTATTTTACTTAAACAAACATTTATGTCGGTATGTATTCATAGATGATCGAACTATTCGTTATAATATTACAAATATATTTGTACATTACCAATTAATTTTATAGAAAGTAATGACGAAAAAAAAATAATAATGAGGAGATAGTATAGTCTCTAAAAAGAATTGATACAAAGATTCTTCAGTATTGTTTCAGTACTTGATTCCAATGAGTTTCTTGTTGGTCGTTGGGTTCGGAAATGGTATTCCTACTTCCAAGATTTGATCATTTTTCTAAGTATTTCGACTGGAATCAGTCTGTGCACTGTTATCTGAGTACATTTGAAGAGTCTTTTGTATGAAAAAATTTCAAATTCTCTTAGCGAAATGTAAGTTTAAGCTGAAATTGCGAATATTTCTTCGAATGTATCTGTAGAAAAACCTTTTGCAGAGTTTTACAAATCCATTTTTTTCAATTCAAAATTCAAATTAATTTCTACAAAGTTAAGTGACGATGTGCAAATATATGGTACTATAAAATATTGCAACATTTTTCGTGTATCATTTTGTGAAAAAAAAAAACAAACTTATTTTAGGGTGGTCGATTATTAATTCGTCTTGGTGATTCGGATATTGAATATGATAGTAATTTTAAATTTTATATGACTACTAAATTAGGCAATCCACATTATTTACCAGAAATTTGTATTAAAGTAACAATTATAAATTTTAGTGTTACAAAACAAGGTTTAGAAGATCAAATTTTAAGGTATGATAAAGATTTTACAAAAAGAACCATCATTGCCGTCAACATTAATAAGAATTTCAATAGTGATTTGTGTAGAGAATTTTATTTCGATAATAAAAATGGTTGCTAGTTTTCTAAGGATAGAATCTTCGAAAAGTTTAAGCTTCGGCTTTTCAGGAACTTTATTCTTGGAAAACTAACAATTGGTTTCATCTTCGAAATAAAATTTTCTACATACCACACGATTACTAGTTTTAATGACAGTGAAAAAATCTTGAAAATAAACCTAGTCAAATAATTTTGAGTTTCACTATACATATATATATATTCTTATTCTAGTGATGTTGTTCGACTTGAACGACCTGATCTTGATGAAGAAATGAATCGTCTTATTGTAACAATGAATAATGATCGAAATCAATTGAAAGCAATTGAAGATAAAATTCTTAAAATGTTATTTGAAAGTGAAGGAAATATTCTTGATAATGAAGAATTAGTTAATTCACTTAATGATTCAAAAGTATATTAAAATATTTCTAATATATTATGTAAAAATTTTCAAAAAAAATAAAACAAAAATTTTATAGGTAACATCATCAGCTATAAAACGACGTCTTGAAGAAACATTAAAAACTGAAGCAAATATTTCAGCTGCACGTGAAAAATATCGTCGAGCAGCTAAACGTGGTTCATTATTATATTTTGTTGTAGCTGATTTAGGTTTAATTGATCCAATGTATCAATTTTCTCTACGTTATTTTACACAATTATTTAATACAACCATTGAAAATAGTACAAAAAGTGATGATCTTAATGAACGTTTACAAATTATTCTTGATGCAACAACGGAAAATATTTATACAAATGTATCTCGGTATGAATAAAACAAAAAAAAAAAAAAGAAGAAAATCAAACAATAATTCATTCGATTCTTTATTTTTTTATGTTTAGTGGTCTATTTGAAAAAGATAAACTTGTATTTAGTTTTCTTCTTTGTGCTGAAATATTAAAATTAGAAGGAATTATAAATGAGATTGAATGGAACTTTTTACTTCGTGGTGGTTTAATAACTGAAGAAGTAAATAGAATTTATTTTCTAGAAAAATTTAATATAGATTTTTTTTACTAATTATTTAGAAACGACCACCAAAACCAAGTCATGATTGGTTAATAACTGAACATTGGAATCAAGCATTATTATTAGTTGAAGTATGTGATGGATTTAAAAATTTACCACGTGATATTGAACAATATCAACAACCAATTTATGTACAAATTAATCCAGAATTACGTATTGCTATAAATAGTCAGGATATGACAACAAATGTTCCAAGTGAATATGATACAAAATTATCAGATTTTCAAAAATTAGTATTTGTTAAAGCATTTGCACCTTATTTACTTGTACAATGTATAACATATTTTGTTGCACAACAATTAGGAAAAAAATTTGTTGAAAGTCCATCTGTTGAATTACCTATTCTTTATCAAGATATGTCAAATCGTACGGCATTAGTATTTATTTTAAGTACAGGTTCTGATCCAATGTCAAGTTTTACAAGATTTGCTACTGAAATGAATATGTCGAATAGGTTTGTTTGATTATGGAGTTTTCTTTCTTTTAATTTACTGTTTTCAGTATTTTATTATCAATAGTCAAAATCTGTAAATTCTAATAATAGTTCATTGTAAAACATGAGCAAAGTTTTATCATCATTTCAAAAATTTTCATCACGTTCTTAGATGAAAAGAATGAAGGAAGAATAGTCATCATTTGGTTACCTTGCAGAATAGTGTGCTGTCTAGCAGCAGATTTAATAGAGCAATATCTTTCCTACAACTATGACTAGCTGTAGTTCTGAAGAGAAGGTCGATCTGAAGCAGAATTCTTGCACTTAATAACTTGAGCTTCTCATACTTACTAACTAACCACATGCGCCTGCCCGAAAGGTTGTCCAACTTTCACAGAAGGCGATCCTGAGCTGAAGGTAACCATCCGTTTCACACATTTAGATTAGTCACCTGTCTGTAGTACTGTAAGTCTCACTGACTACAAAAAAGATAGATCAGCTTTTTTACTGTTTCACCGTATACCGAAAGATATTAGGTATTATTATTTACTAACTATATACTAGCCATAAGAGTAGGTGTATATCACAATGTAGTCCTCATGCTATTGGAGGGATGATCCGAGACAAACAGCTGTTAGTAACTTGCCCAGGGTCATTTCATATCTCATAGTATCAAGATTTAAACATAGCATCTTTTGGATACATGTCGAACTACATAGTCACTCAGCTATAATGGACTATCTTCTTAGATACACTCGAATATATTATTGTTACCATAGATGTAATAAATTTTAATATGCATTAGATGTGTGACTGTTCTCAGGTCAAAAGAACTGGCCAACCAGAATGATCAGTCTTTTTGAGCTTTTCACCACTCATTTTGATAACCCTAATCATGAATTAATAATTCATTTGACCAGTTGCCGTTCAATTCAAATGAGCTAGTGAACAGCTGCAGTGTCACGAACTGAAATACAGCTGTCATACATCTAATATTCATTAAAAGTACATTATAAAATTGATTAATGAATACGAATATCTTCTACAATCGAAGTTTGAATTCAAATCTGACTTCAATCAAATTGATATTATAATAAACAAATGATTTAGTAATATAAGCACAGTAGAAAAATATATTATACACAAAATTTATGACATATTATTATTTTCAAAATTTGATTTTCTTAATAAAATTCATATCATTTATATAGTTACAAAGCAATTTCTCTTGGTCAAGGTCAAGGTCCTGTTGCTGAAGATATGATTTCAAAATCTGTTGTTGCTGGTGAATGGATATTCTTACAAAATTGTCATTTAGCTGCTAGTTGGATGATAAATATGGAAGCAATTGTTAAAAATATAAATGAAGGCATAACACCATGTCATAATAATTTTCGTTTATTTCTAAGTTCAATGCCAGCTAAAACATTTCCAGTTAGTGTTTTACAAAATAGTGTTAAAGTAACAAGTGAACCACCAAAAGGTATACGTGCAAATATGAAACGTGCTTTTATTGATATAACACCAACATTTTTTGAAACACATCGTAAGTTTTTGTTTCTTTTTTTTTTTTTTTGTATTTTGAAATTGGTTTTTTTTTATTTAATAAGGTTTGGAAATGGATTGGAAAAAGATTGTATTTGGTATTTGTTTCTTTCATGCAATTTTATTAGAAAGAAAAAAATTTGGTCCATTAGGCTTTAATATTCGTTATGAATTTAATGATGTAAGATTTTTTTTTATTTAATTACAAAGAAAAAAAACTTTCTTTTCGTTTACAGAGTGATCGTGAGTGTGCTTTATTAAATTTTGATATGTTCTGTAAAGAAGGAGCAATCCCATGGGATGCATTGATTTATATTACTGGTGAGATTTGTTTTTGTTTTTCTTAAAATAGGAAATTTTTTATTTCTTATTGTTTCTTAGGTGAAATTACATATGGTGGTCGTGTAACAGATTCTTGGGATCAACGATGTTTACGTACAATTTTACGACAATTTTTTTCACCTGAAACATTAGCATCTGATTATAAATATTCACCTTCAGGCATATATTATTGTCCTGAAAGCAAATTTCTTCAACAATATCGTGATTATATTGAAGAATTACCAATAAATGATAATCCTGAAATATTTGGAATGAATTCAAATGCAAATATTACATTTCAAGTAAAAAATTTTCTTTTAATTTTATTATTTTTTTTTTGGAGTAAAAGATATTTTTTATATTTATAGACACAAGAATCGAATTATCTTGTTAATACAATTATTGATATACAACCACGTGTATCATCTGGTGGTGCTGGTAAATCAAATGATGAAATTGTTTATGAATTAGCCGAAACAATCTTAGCTAAATTACCGGAAAAATTAGATATTGAAAAAGCACCACGATCATTATTTGAACCGGATGCTAAAGATCGTTTAAATTCTTTAACAACTGTTCTTCAACAAGAAGTTGATCGTTATAATCGTCTTTTAAATATTATTAAATTATCACTTAGTAATCAAATGAAAGCTATCAAAGGTTTAGTTGTTATGGATGAAACATTAGAAAAAAGTAAGTTTAGTCTTTTTGTTCAATTAGCAATTGACAATAGAAAGTTCTGGATCTTTTCAAACCTGACCGAGTTTGAGTTTTTGTTTGGTTTAAGTTTATATCCGGATTTTATTTCAGACTCGGTTTTGTATTCAATTTCGAATCTGAATAGAGAAAAACTAACGTCAACCTGCATACGAGAGAAGTCCTCCGACTGATAAATGACTTTTAAGTTGAGACTATACGCATTACTATACTCGACTGCGTCCAAGCAGTGCTTTATACAGATCTTTTCTTTTCTGGAGAAGCGAAAACTTGTTTTTGGAAGCACAGAAACATAGTATGTGGCACAATTATTACAAACTCTAGGAAGATCAGTGCGATCTTTGAAGAGATGCCGTTCCCTCAGTCAGCAAGCTGGATAAAATACTGCGTCCATGATTGGATCTGAATCCACAAAAACATAGATCCGCATTTTCTACTTCATAATATGATTATCAATATTTTCTTTTCAGTGTACACTGCTTTTCTCAATAATCAAGTACCTTCTATTTGGACTGATGCTGCTTATCCATCATTAAAATCATTAGCATCATGGATTAAAGATTTATTATTACGTTGTGATTTTATAGGGGTAATTATCGTTATTTAAAAACATATCAACTAGAGTGTTCTTTTTTTCATTTTTTCTTTTCCAGCTTTGGATTACTCATGGTTTACCAAAATCATATTGGTTACCGGGTCTTTTCTTTCCTCAAGGTTTTCTAACAGGTGTTCTACAAGTTCATGCCCGTAAATATGATTTACCTATCGATGAATTAAGTTTTCATTTTACTATCTTATCATTTGAACGTGATCATACAACATATAATGAACAAGCTAAACGTTTAGATTATGGAAAGAAACTTGATGTTGATGAACAAGTAATTCAAATTTTATGAAAATAAATTTCTTTAAAATAAAATTTTTTTTTTAGTTACCACATGTTAAAGATGGTGTTATTCTTCATGGATTATATATGGAAGCATTTCGTTGGGATAATGAACAAAAACAAATTGTTGATGCTGCTCGAGGTGAAATGATAGCAACATTACCAATGTTACATATGGAACCAAGACAAAATTATGTTGTTGATCCAACACAGTATATTTCACCATTATATAAAACAGCAGCAAGAGCTGGTGTTTTATCAACAACAGGTAAATAAACAAAAGTCAAAAATTTATAATAAACCTTTTTTTCTTTTTTTTTTAAATTAGGTCATTCAACAAACTTTGTCGTAACAGTAAATCTACCAACTGATAAACCACAAGATTATTGGATAGCAATGGGCAGTGCATTGCTTTGCCAAGTATCGGACTGATAAAATGGATATTTCTATTTCTTTCTTCCTATATTTAAGTGATGAATTAATTGTGTTCGATTTTTTTTTTAATATTCACTAGTAACATCATTTAGTGATCACTGATAAATATATATTTTTTATCTTATTCATTTGAAAAATAAAATAAACAGCGAAATAACACAAAAAAAACAACGAAAAGTTAATTGTTATGATAAGAAATATTTGTTATTCGATTCATTTTGTATGTATTTCAATTTATTGATAAAAAACATAATATAAGATAGAGGAAATAAACATTTGATTACTATAACTATTGTCGATAACAATGCCGATAGAAGTAGGAAAATGTTGGTATTTCGAATAGTTTAGATTTTTGTGTTTTATTTCAATTAGGAAAATGAACCATTGTCTTCTGATGAAGAAACAAATTCGAAAAATTTAACATTTGAACGTGTTATTGAAGAATGTGGATCTTTTGGTCGATATCAATATATACATTTCTTTTTTCTTATTTTTTTTCCAATAGCTACAGGAATATATAATTTTTATTATGTATTTGGAATAGCTGAAACTTCTTATGAATGTCATATATCAAATGATATTAATCAAGATTTTAATATTGAAGTCTTACCTTCACAATGTTCTTATATAATAAAAAATTATCAAACTGAAACAAATGAAACTTATCCATGTACGAATTGGAATTATGATCGAAGTGTATTTGGTAAAACATTTTCAGAAGAAGCAAATTTTATTTGTCAACGTAGTGTTTATCGTTCATTATTGGCAATGATATTACAAATTGGTGCTATGTTAGCTTTTTTTACTGGACAAATAACAGATTTGCTAGGTCGTCGTCGTACAATGCAATTACTTATTTGTCTATTATTAGTCACTTCTTTGATTACTCAAACACTTTTACAATTTGTACCAATGTCAATAAATCTAAAGTAAGAAGTAAGATTTTGAAGTTGAAAAATCTCATATACAGAATATTTCAAAAAAAGATATGTATATTAATCATAATTTAAAATCTTAATATTCTAACACCAACGTCTATAAATAAAATTCTATACATAGCAAAGGTCCAAACAGGTTCACTTTTTGGTAATCTTGACCAATCTGTGTCTAAATAGCTTTCGTTTGATTTTGCTTATGAGGGAGAAAGTCTCCCAAGGCTACAGAGAAATCATTTATTCATTAGATTTTCTCAGAAAAGTATATTTTCAATTGGAACTTTTAATACTCGTGTTATCAATCGTGAACACTTTTTCCTTCGTCACTATTTCTCGTATTAATAAATTTGTACAGAAATTTCAGACTAATGGAAGCAAATAAATTTTTACTAAGCATGAAAACTGTTTACATCAATAGTTTTAAAAGTAATGTTCTTTCTAATAGTTGTATGGCATTTTATCTAGTGTGAATCATCAATTTTGTTTATATTTATGTAGTATATTGATATTGTGGGATTCTCTTAGATCTGGATACAAACAAAAATGTTTTACAATATAATTTGAATCGTGTTTCATAACATCTGGTTTTCATATACTGAATTCTGCAGCTGTCTCAAAGGCTTTTACTATGCTTTTGACATTTGTCGTATCTTTTGTCTTTTTAATATATTACTTTTCGAAAGAAAATAACTGGTTCTCTTTAAAAAATTCGACAAAAAAACCTTGGCTTATACATAGACAATTTGTTCCATCGAAAGATGAAAAACATTTTCTATCCATAACAGAAAACTCCCAGAGAGAAAAGCAAAATGGAAGAAAAAATTTAGGAAGAGAAAATCATCCTCTCTCTTCCTTAATCATATGGCCGATGTGCCTATCATCTTGTTTCTTCCGCTTAACCTTTCTATAGTTTTTTCTTCATGACACTATCGTATTTATCATAGAATAGAATTAAGTATTAATTTTTAATAGAAAATTCAACAAGTCACTAGAAGTAATTAAAGATAGAACAAAACAAAATGTTCACTTCAAGAAAGCTATTCTAATTGATGAAAGTGAAAAAAAAACGTTCAAAGTTCACTACAAGGAAATGTTCACTAAGATAGCAGTTGATTTCAAACAAAAAAATCGTTCGGAGAGAATTCACCATGTTCACTTTAATGAAATGTTTTCAATGGAAGATTTTACTATCGATTAAATATTTATGAATTGAACCGTGGTAGGATATAGAAAAATCTGGTTTTTGTTCAAAAATATTTTGTATAAATCTAATAGACAAAAATCTTGCTAACAATAATACAATCAAGATAAGAACGATGTATATCTGCAGCAGAAAAAGATTGTTCGACCTCAGTTGAATGAATTAGGATTGAATAACAAAGACGATGAACAAGTAATGATAAACATAGAAATTTGTGTCGATGATCATTCCAGAAGAATGATCATAAATTTGATTGTTTATAAGTATCTTCAATATTTATTTTTCAATATCATCCTTGAAATAAACTCCATCGGATGTATTGATTCGCAAGATGTTTCATTTTTTAAGATCAAACTTTTTTTCCAAAGAAACAAATACATAGCGTACCCCAGGTTTAATGGCCTAGTTGTAACTTCGATACGTACTAAGTTTTTTTTTCGCATTTTAACTGTAAGATGTAGGAGAAAAATTAAATACCATTTCATTTTGTAGAATACCAAATATTCAATTGAACACGTTCATTAGTATTATATTTAATCTGTAAATTTTTTTCAACATGTGATAAACTGAAGTTTATCTTATCGTATGCAGAAAATTAGAGAAATCAAAATTCTATTCACTTTTATTACATATTTCAATAGATGATAGTCTTATTTTTATAATGCAAAAAGAATCAAATGTCATGATTACTTTTTGATAACATCATTGTTATCGGTATAGCAGAAATAGACATATGAAATTACTTCATTGAGAAAACTAAATTGAGTAATATTTAAATATATCGTTTTAAAAAACTTCTGAAATTCAATATATAAAAGGTGTATTAATTGTTAAAAAGAAAGTAATAATAATTACAAATTAAAATATTATTCGTAAGCCTTTCATATAATCGATTCATTATTTAAAAATGATGAATATACATTTCCATGTTTTAAAAATTTGACTATAAATCATCATTTGTCAAAAGTTATTTCTCTCTCTCTCTCTCTCTCTTGAATAGTCAAATGAAGAATATCAAAACACATGCAATTAATTCAATAAATTTAATCGTTTTTATTTTATTTAGATTTATTTTACTTCTTATTAATCAATTTGTATCTGGTATCGATACATTTATGGTGTCATTTATTTTACTTATGGAACTTACTACATCATCTTATGCTACATTTGTAGGAAATTTAGCACTTGTTGCTTTTACTTTTGGTGAAATAATACTAACTGGTATGGCTTATATTTGTCGACATTGGCTTCTACTTAAATGGGCTATGACTTTATATATTCTTGCTCTTGTACCTTATCTTTTTTTTGTACCTGAATCTCCACATTGGTTATTAACAAAACATCGTTATGATGAATTGAAAGAACTTTTACATCAAATTGCACGATATAATCATCGATCTGAATCACAATGGTTACCATATTATCGATATATAATTGATAAACATCAAAAACAAAAAGATCTTAATCAAAAAAATAAAATTACATTATCATTATTTTCTAAATTACGTCGATTTTTAACACATATACCAACAATGAGTAAATTATTTATATCAGGTTTTCTTGGATTTGTAACATTATTACTCTATTTTCAAATATCTTATGGTCTTGCAACTATGAATGAAATTGATCCGTATTCAAATATAATTATTGGTGCTTTTGTTGAAACTATTGGTTATATAGCAGCTAGTCTTTTTATGATACGATATGGTCGAAAATCAATATTTATACTTTTTCTTATACTAACTATAATTTGTCTTTTATTACGACCATTAACATATAATCAAAATCGTTTTATTATAATAATTATTGCACAATTAGGAAAATTTGCAATCAGTGGAGCAACTGGTGTTACATATATATTTGTACCAGAATTATTTCCAACAACATTTCGTGGTACTGGTATGGGCTTTTTTGTTTTTCTTGGTCGTTGTGGTTCTACTATTGCACCATTAATTGATGCATCAATCAATCATAATCATGTATTAATTACTGCTATGTATTATTTATATGCAATATTAACTATTCTTTGTGTCTTACTGACATTATTATTACCTGAAACACGAAATGTTCCATTGGTCGATAAAATCAACTATAATAATAGTAATCAAAATAATAAAAAACCATATAACACACAATCAATAGATCGTACATAAATGATTATGATTGTTAAATAATTTATAATATATTTGAAAAAAAGAAAGAACATACCTTTTTTTTTTTCTCTTTCTGAAAATATGAGAGAGAAAGAGAAATAAAAATATAAGCAAATAACTTTAATGCATTGTTTATCTATACGACACACAATCAGGAAATAGATCTGTTTCCGTTTGATTTCACACAATAAACTTAACTGTACACATAATAGAGAATTGAACCTACTATAGAAGAAAAAAAAATCATAGATGATATCGTTTTATTTTTATTTTTTTTTTCTATCAGATATAAAATCATTTCTACCTTAATTTCAAAATCATATGAATAGAAAGTTGACCGAACTCAACCAGTAATTTCATTTGATTATATATCTATCGACATTATGACAGCTTCGTCAGTAAGTAAACAAAAACTTGAGACGATGATTTGTTTGCTCAAGTGTCAATGCTGATTTTTTTTTAGCTTCTTCATTTTCTTTGCATTGAGTTAAACATGCCATAATCACATGGAAATTATCCAAACAGCATATATATATATATATAAAAGAAAGCGGAACACTTCGTTTCGTCTCTTTTTTCTGCTCGATGTCTATTAGCATTTTACACGTCGTTCTCTAGGATTTCTTCGTCGCCCAAAAGACAAACATAGTGAACTACAAAATCAGCATGATTCTTAATGAATTCAGTTCTTTTTTGCACATCATCACAAATCAAGTAGATCAGATTATGATTATTTATATTTGTCTTTTTGTTTTTTTTGTTAAAAGAAGTTTCTTTTTTTTCTTTGTTTCAATTCTAGGAAAGTTTATTTTAATAATTATTCTTGTCTTTTTATTTATTTTTTTTTGATTATTTTTTAAATACTGGTGATAATCAAATTTGTACAATCAAAATTTGGTAAGTACATATATTTGATAAGAAATCAATTTGTACGCCAGAAAAAACAATAGATGTCGCTAAAATATTACAATTAAGTAACATTTTTCTGAATTATATTTAAAATCAATTCTCTATTTAATTATGTATAATTTAAAATTGAATAATTTCATCTATGATTAAACTAATTACTTAATTATATTAACCAATCCAAGTAAATTGTCTATGACGATTTATATGTTTCATTCGTTTGTTCGTTCTATCATGTTCTTTCATTTATTTATAAAAGACGTTTTGAGTTTTTTTCATTGTACACGAGATTTTGCATACTAGTGTTCAGAACATAAAGCAAAAAACAAAAAAACAAAAGAATAAACATTCTCTTTCCATTATTACATTCTCTTCTATCCTAATTTTCATTGCATAAAAAAAAAAATCTTATCGTCATGAGTAATGACGATTAGATACAAAATGCTCTTCAAAGTAAGCATCAATAAAAATGAAACATATGTTTATCTAATTATATTCAAATATAGATGTTATGAACGAAAAAAAATATCTCTTGGTCGATTTTGACATGAATAAAGAATACAATACTGTTCGGACGACATCCAGTAAGTGATTTAAACGTTTTCTTTTTTTAATTTTTGCTATTAAGATAATTTTGTTTTTTACGACTTCACGCAAAAATAGAAACATCCATAAAAATTCTTTTTTTTTTCTTTCTTTTTTATTAGGTTCCGAAGCATCAGGTAATCGAGCTAAAAGAGCAAATACAGAAGATGCTCATACACAAAAAATAAAAAATAAATATATGTCTTTATTTCGTGTTTTATTTTACTAAATAAGATAAATCCAGTTCGCATGTAAATAAATATTAGGCACGAGAGACAAGCGCATTGCTAAATTAATTTTTAATTAATTTTAATTTTAATTTTAATTATATTTATTACAGACGATCAACCTTTTCTTCCCATTAATCCATTTGCTGAACCTATAACAACAATGTCATCTGCCAATACAAATCATCATGGTAGAGATGATGATATGATTGATATTGATTTTCAAAATACAACTAATGATAGATCAACTAGTAAATCTCTATAACAAAAAAAAAACACATATATATTAAATAGAAAAGTTTATATTAAATTTATAGATAGTGTAATGAATGTTGACTTAGTTAATACACATTATGATGATTTTCAAACAATTGATTGGCTTAAAGATTTAATGCGCGATCGTTTTCGTCATCGTTTATTACGTACAAAATCTCATCAATCATTTTTTAATAAACTTTTAATGTATCATGATGCATGGTCTGGTTGGCTATGTGTATTACTTGTTGGTTTAAGTGCTGGCGTGATTGCTGCTGTTATTGATATTGGTACAAATTGGATATCACATTTAAAACATGGGATATGTCTAAATGCATTTTGGCTTAACAGAGAACAATGTTGTATGTATTTTAATAGAAAAAATTTTCGTATAAAGAGAATAAAAGATTATCAAAAGTCTACTTTTGTTTTTACTCATAGAATTAAAAAAAGAAATTTGACCTTTGTTAATAATAATAAATGTAATGTACAATGATAAATCACAAAAATTTTCTATGACTCATAGGTCATGACCGTGACCGAAGAAATTAGTGGTATTAAATTCTAGATCTATTAGTTAAAGACATATACAATATAATGGAAGAAAAAAAAAGCCATATTCTTATTCTTCTTATAGTACTGATATTTACGTAGTCATTTAATCCCCAAACATAAAATATTCACCTTGTTAATACTTTTCTTTTATATCCGAGAGAAAAACAATGAACAAAATAATAATACTAATTCAGTACTTAAAGAAATTGACTGACATTTTAATATTATAATTAATATGATAAAATATTATTCGTTTAGGTTGGGCATCAAGACAACTTCAATATGATAATGTAAATTCTGAAGAATGTCCTGAAGTAAAAAAACAACTAATAAAAAAAACAAACATTTTTCGTATGTGTTTGTTTTTCTTAATTGTAGTGGTTTACTTGGCCACAAGTATTTGGTACATATAAAAAAGGGGCTGGAGAATTTTTATTATCTTATATAATGTATATATTTTGGTCGACAATATTTGCCACATTTGCTGTTCTTCTAGTCAAAGTATTTGCACCATATGCATGTGGTAGTGGCATTCCAGAAGTAATAAAAAAACAAACAACTTAATTTTGATTGATTTATTTATTTATATTTAGATTAAAACAATCTTAGGAGGTTTTATTATTCGAGGATATTTGGGTAAATGGACTTTATTGATAAAAAGTATTGGCATGGTTAGTCTTGACATTTTCTTTTATATTATAAATTTATTATAAAACAAATATTCTTGTTATAGATGTGTGCTACAAGTGCTGGTCTTATATTGGGTAAAGAAGGACCATTTGTTCATATTGCTTGTTGTTGTGGAAATATATTTTCATATCTTTTTCCAAAATATGGTCGAAATGAAGCAAAAAAACGGGAAATCTTATCTGCAGCAGCTGCTGCGGGTGTTTCAGTTGCATTTGGTGCACCAATTGGTAACAACAAAAGAATTCATTATTTTGATTTTTATAAAATAAATTTTTTTTTTTTTTTACAAAATTTCAGGTGGTGTTTTATTCAGTTTAGAAGAAGTATCATATTATTTTCCATATAAAACATTATGGCGATCATTTTTTTGTGCTATGGTTGGTGCACTTGTTGTTCGTTCAATAAATCCATATGGTAATGGACATGATATTCAATTTAGTATTGATTATTCTGTACCATGGGCATCATTTGAATTATTACCATTTATTTTATTAGGCATTCTTGGAGTAATAATAAACAAATAGTTAATAATCAAATAAACATATGTTTTGAAAATTTTAGGGCTTATGGGGTGCATTTTTTATAAAAACAAATATTTGGTGGTGTCGTTTTCGAAAAAATTCACGACTTGGACAATATACAATATTTGAAGTAAATAATTTCTATTGATTAAATAAGATTGAAAATTATATGAATATAATTGACCTTATGAGAAAACTATTTGAGTTAATGCTCATCTCAAAAAAAAAAAGGCGAATAGGAATGTTTTTTAATAAATTTTGACAGAAATAAGATAGAGATGAAGATGCATCGAATTGTATATTACAAAGTTTTTTAAGGTTTTCAATCGATCTTTTTGAAAACTAACGTACCCTTTGAGATGATTATAGTGAATTTTCAATTATCAGCTGCATGTCCGAACTACTAATGGAAGATCTATAAAACTACGCAAGGTTCAAATTTCTAGATTTAGTTATTTGGAAGTCATAGGTATTCTAGTCAAAATCCCTGATAGATTTTTTAGACGATTGCTATAAAAATAGAAGAATCTATAATATATGATTCGATGTGACTTCATTTCCTCTATCCAATAGCGAAAACTGCAGCGCTCTATCTTATTTCTATCAAAAAGTTATTTGCAATTCAGAACTACCTGCTGACTTCTGGCCCACGCAGTATACTGAAAAATAAAAATAATACAGAATTTCGACTTAAAATTTTACTTATAGATAGATCGAATGATCAATAGAATATTTTAAAATTTTCAACTGAAAAGAATGTTCTTCTATTGAGATATTGAATTTTCAAAAAAATTATCCTTTGCTAAAGACATGTTATAAAAATACTTGAAAATTCAATATCTCAACAAAGAAATATCATTTTCAGCTGAAACTTTCAGGATATTCTATGAATCATTTGACCTATCTATAGGCAAGGTTTTACGTCGAAATTGTTTTATTTTTCGGTATATGCTCAAATAACGGTTAGAAAGATTTATAAATATGAACTCAAATGGTGGATATCAGTTTGTGAAGTTCTAACGTTTGTCTTTTTTCTATCATTGATGGAATGTCGAAAATAGATTATTTTGTTATTTTAAGAATCTAAAGGGAATAAATTAATTTTTATGCAAAAGATGTTTTTTGTTCTAATTGATACAAATGATTTTTTCATTTAACATAAACTCAGAAATATATAGAAAAAAATAATAAAACTGATGTTTTTTTTTAAACTTTCTTTCTGTTCGTTTTTAATAAATATATATATATTATTCTTCAGGTTGTTTGTCTTGCTTTAATTACTGCTATTATTATATATCCAAATCCGTATACACGGATGTCAATGTCAGAATTAATCAAACGTTTAGTTAGTCAATGTCGTGTAGAAGATATGATTGATCTATGGTAAAAGAAAAAAGTTTTTTTTTTTTTTTATATAGAATTTCATTAATATTTGAATATTTTCTTTTAAGTGATTATCCAAATGCTCAATTTTATAATGGTAAATCAAAAGGATCAATAGGATTAGCTGGTCCTGGTGTACATCACGCTATATGGAAATTATTTTTTGCTCTTATTGTTCAAGTTGTACTTGTAACATTTACTATAGGTGTTAAAGTTCCATCAGGTTTAATCATTCCATCAATGTCAATTGGAGCTATAACAGGACGTATTATTGGTATTATAACAGAACAATTAGCTATACAAAATCCAACATTTATTCTTTTTCGTCATGATTGTAGTAAAGGTAAATTTTGTTTTTCTTTTTTGTTTTAATTAAATCTAAAAATTCTTTTCTTTCCTGTTTTTCTTTTATAAAGAGGAAAATTGTGTTACACCAGCTTTATATGCTATTGTTGGTGCATGTGCCTTTTTGGGTGGTGTTAGTAAAATGACTGTTTCACTTGTTGTTATTATGTTTGAATTAACAGGTGGTTTAAATTATATTGTACCATTAATGGCAGCAGCAATGACAGCTAAATGGATTGGTGATGGTTTTGTACGTGGTGGAATTTATGATGCACATATTGAATTAAATGGTTATCCATTTTTGGATAATAAAGAAGAATTTAATTTTACAACAATAGCAGCCGATGTTATGCGTCCAAGGTAAAAATTGTTTAATAAATAATTAATTTTTCTTTTTCAAAATTTATTTTAATAGACCAGAACAATCATCATCATTAGCTTATTTAACACAAAATGGTATGACATTTTTAGAAGTAGAAAATTTATTAAAAGAAACAACACATACATTATATCCTGTTGTTGTTACACGTGAACAACCATATCTTGTTGGACAAATACAAAGACGTGATTTACAAATTGCTCTTAGTATGTATCTTTATATATAAAAATGAATACTGTTTTTTTTTCGAAACTCTATTCTCTAATAGAAATAATAAATATTAACATTTTTAGTAGATTTTCTGTTGAGTTAATCATGGGAATAGATTATACAAGTGCTAATTATTAACACTGTTATAGTTACATTTCAGCAAAATCATGTCATTGGGGAAATGCAGAATGAGTCATAAATGACATGAGAATTGCGTTTATTGTTAATTTGATTTTTTTTCGCAGTTATTTTATCTGTATAAAGCAAGAAATCTGTTTATCATGGCTTTAGATTTTTTTTTTAATGAATCATTTCGGGAAATGATATACGATTAGATCAAGAAAATGATCTCTCCGATCTTGAAAAATTTTTGTTTTTATCCAGCGAAGTCCTAGCATCGATATTTTAACTCTGGTGGCCTCGGGGTGCTTCTGGATTAGACAATTGCAAAGGCGGATAGTTTACGATCGAAATCAGATCTTTCATTTCTAGGATTATGTCGGACTCATTAGTCTTGATTTTCTTTTTTATAGTATATGGGATCCTAGGTTCTGATTTAAAACCATCCATTTCTATTGTTAAAGTCTTGTTCAGAAGAAGGATCATAACGAAAAACTTCAAGTTTCTATCTTTAATTGATAAGCAATTATTTAACAATGGCTTCTTAACTGACTATCAGTTCTAATAAAACTTTTAGTATGAAGATCGTATTATTTATGAGTTTAAACCGTCAATAAAATACTTCTAGAAAAAAAAACTACTTTCACATGTATAATCAAAAAACTTTTAAAAACTATTCTGCAAATAGATTATGCCCGTGGTAGTATTTATATCAACCTGACCAACATCAGAATAATCTATCCGTATAACTAAACAAAAAAAAAAGATTTCTTTTTTTACAAATTTGTAACTTATTGAAGGTTCTAGATAATATTTGGAAATCATCTCGATCGGATAGTTTCTATGAATAAGTCAAAAAATGACTCAACAGAGAATAAATGGTTAATAGCGAATATATAATAGATTCTCTAGAGTTATTAATCGATATGAAAATTAATAATGAATATTTAATATTTAGAATCACAAAAAATGCAACGTTTTCGTCTTTCGCAAAGTCTTATTCAATTTACATCATCATCCGAAACAACAATAAATTCAGATTATGAAGTTGATAATCAGAATGAACAACGATTAACAACAAATCCAGAAGTTATTCGAATTGGCAATTTACTTGATCAGGTTTGCAAAGAAAATTAAAAAAAAAAAAAGAAATTTATTTATTTTTTTGTTATTATTTTATACATTTAGGCACCAATTATTGTTACTGATCAAACTCCAATGGAAACAGTTGTTGATCTATTTCGTAAATTAGGTCTTCGACAAGCATTTGTAACACGTAACGGGTAAGTTTTTTTTTTTAATTTTAAAATTTTTATCTTGTTTGATTTATTTAGACGATTACGAGGAATAATAACTAAAAAAGATATTCTGCGACATGTTCAACAATTAACTTCGTCTAATACTGAAACAACGTATTATGACAATTAAAAAGAAATATATATTTATTTATTTTTCTTTTTCACTTATCACAGTGAGATCGTATAACAGTCTCTCTCTCTCTCTCTCTCTTTACCTATCTATATCTCTCATAATCTAGATATATTTTTTTTTGCTTATTGTTGTTATCACATAAGCTGAAGATACGTTGCCTAAGGAAACAAATTAACAAATGTAAGCGACTGGAACTTTTTCTTCCTTTCTTTTTTTCTGTATTTGATATACATATATATATAAAGTCTCAGAAATCTATATAAAATCAGAAAATTATTTTTCTTTTTTGTTTTTTCTGCGTTTGTTTTTGTTTTTTTTTTATATGATTAATTTTTGTTGTTGTTGTTGTTTGTCGTCATGTTCTCGTATGCACCGTTATTTATTTCTTGTTCTTCAATTTCTTTCAAATCACTTTTCGCTTTAAATGTTCACTTACAAAAAAAAAAAAATGTTTGTTTCTTAAAAAAATCCATTGGATTTACGGCCAAAAACATAATAAAATAATGCAAAAAAATTTTTTATCTTAACGAAAATTATACTTTAGATGAAATTAGATCCTGGGTAATGATAAAGATTGAATTTTATAGTATAGAGATTGAGATCTGTAGAAAGAATTATAGAAATTGTAATGCTTCATAATATTTATTAATTCAAAGATCTCTGATGTAAAATAATAGTCTAGTTCTCATTTGAGGTTCGTGCGAATCTTAGATTAAATTAATAGAAATACGACACAAAAATAACAGAATTTTGAAAATTTCATCAAAAAAAAAAGAATCTTTTTATTTTTAAAAGTTTGAAAACTTGAAGATCATTCGGTCTTATCAAAATAATTGACAAAGGTATAAGAGATATTCTAAGAATAAGAGTAGAGATTGATTTTTAGTAATAAATATATGCATTAAATGAGTATGAATTGTTTTTGTTTTCTAGATATTCATTAAAATTATCTGCATTTATTTGATCTTAATAAAAGATGGGTTTAAATCAAGCCAAAAGCCAACCATTAGTTACTGTTAATGATAAAAATCTTCCATCACAAACAACTGCTGATAATAATGAAACAAAACCGAAATGTAAAGCATGTTGTGCATGTCCAGAAACAAAAAGTATACGTGATGAATGTGTACTCTTGAATGGAGAAGAAAATTGTTCAAAAGAAATTGAAGCTCATCGAGCTTGTATGCGAGCAGCTGGCTTTAATATCTAGAATCTCCTCGTTTTTTTTCCTTGTTAACCTATTTTTTTTGTCCATTAGAATTCTGGTTTTTAATTTTTTTTTCAAAAATAAAGACAAGAATATGTTGTCCATTTGAATTAGTTAATATAATATTATGTTGATTTTGTACCTAAAAATAATTTAATAAGATTATCAATTGAATAATGTCCATCTTCATCAAGTGGTAAACATTGTTCAATTTTTTCAATATCATTCAAATTAATACCAATATCTTTTAATACTTTACGTAATTCACTTGGTGGAAAAAATCCAATATTATCCAAATCAATAATACGTAATGCTTCACGTAATTCAATTTCTTCAGAACTTAATACATGTTCTCGATAATATTTACTTTTCTTTTTCTTTGTTGATACTGATCGTTTTTGTTCTCTCTTTGTTGAACTTGAATTCATCATACGATGACTTCGAGCTGCTGATGCAGATTTTGATCGTTTTGATGTTGTTTGTAATGTTGAATTACCATTAACTAAATGTACATCGTCAATAATTGATTCAAATGTTGATGATAATAAAGGAGAAGAAGATGAAGGCATTTCCATATCTTGAATATTATGCAAATCTATCGGTTGTTGACTAGATGTATAATAAGTTTTAACCCTAGATCCCATTGAAGTAAAATCTACAGGAGTATCTTCATCATTAGATATTTTCTGTTTAGTTTCATCAATAATAACTGATGAAACTTTTGGTTGATAATCAACTAAACAAGGTGGTGATGAAGCAGTTGGTGTATTTAATGTTTGAAAATCATAATGATAATGGCAAAAATGTGATGAATCATTAGTAGAAAGTGGAATAGGTGATGTTGATGATGACATAGCACGAGATACATTATATTGACCAGAAGTAGATGTATCAAAATTCTGAAATCATTAAAAAAAAAAAAGATTTTCATATTCAAGCGGAACATACTAAACTAGAAAATCGATTAATTCGATCAAACAACACATTAGACATGTGACGATTCTCGTCCGAAGAACGGAACTAGTTTCAATTACTATTATCCATTACAAAAAAGAATAGATTCGGTTATTTGTTGAATAACTCGGCAATACTGATAGCTATCGAACTTGAGTTTTCGACGTTAGAAAGAGCATGAGTGGACGTACAAGTCTACCTGAGAATCAAACTACTTGAGAGGTTTTCTAGAGGTTCCAGAGATTTTTTGGAAAACCGCTGTTTGATTCGCTTGATTAGCTGTATATTCAACTTCAATTTAGCAATATTGTAGCCCAATGTCTATACGTCTTCACCCTTTCCTTAAAAAATGATGACTATTTTCACTGAATTTTCGATTCTTTCCTAGCTATTTACCGGAAAATAAAATTAAGGAACTTCAACCTGAAAATTCATTCATAGAATATCTGAAAAATTTTAGCCAAAAAAGATGTTTCTTTCTCTAGATATTAGATTTTCAATTTCACTTGAAAATACACCTAATCAAGCGAATCAGACAGTGGTTTTTCAAAAAACCTCTGGAACTCCCTAGAAAACCTTTCAAATATTTTGATTCTCAAGTAGATCTGTATCTCCACTCATGCTCTTTCTAACATCGAAAACCAGAGCTCGATAGCTTTCGGCGTTATTGAGTTATTCAACAAGCAACCGAGTTCATTGTGAGTCATATAGCTAAACTGTACAAGTATACCGGAATTGAGCTATGAGAAATTTATACTTTCGAGAAAATCACATGTTCGATAACTCACGAGGAAATCTTTTCAACCAACATGATATTCATTTGATGATTAATAGAAAATTTTAGAATAGTTTACTTTTTCCGAGTCTTTATTCTTGAGATATTGAAATTTTACTGAGTTTTTCAACAAAACTGTAGTTACGTGAGAGTTTCGACTTCAAACTTGGCATGACAATATTCAATACCTCAGGATAGGATATACTAGGAAAATTACAATTTGCCCAATGGACTAATCTCATTGAGAATTTTGTTCGGGCAACGTTTGAAGTCGAAACTCTCACGGACTACAACTTTTTGTTGAAAAAATTTCGATATCTCAAGAACAAAGGCCCGAAAAATCAAACCATTCTAAAATTTTCTATTACTCATCAAATAAAAATCATGTCGGTCGAAAAGTGATCTAACACTTGAAGAGATTCCTTCATTATCTCATGTGATAAGAATTGGAAGCTATGATTTGTCTTTTGCACACCTTAATTAATGGACAAATAATATCTTTTTCATTGATAATCCATTTTCCATTAGTTCCATCATTATTAATTGGTTTTTCTAATAAATCTTCTGTTAATAATATTGAATTATTTGAATCTATTTCATTTGATATATATCTATCTTTTTTATGTTTTCTTGAACGATGAAATTTTTTTTTTAATATATTAAATAACCATGGTGCATTTGTATTTTGTGATTTTAACATTTCATTCATACTTATTGGCATAGCACCTGGTAAATTTTTATAATAATTTACTGATCTATTATCTTTTATAAAAATATTTGATATTGAACTTTTTAATTGTTTACTATTGTTAAAATATGTTTTAGCAAGATATCTCCATGAATGATTATCTTCATTAATAGATGCATAATCACTTTTTAATGAAAGTGATTTCGACATATGTGAAAATAAATCAGTCTCTGATAAGACTTTCAATTCATCATCCGTCGAATAATTTGCCATTCGAACAATCGAAGTATAAAAAAAAAAAAGAAAAGCACACACACACACGTACAAATACACGAAAAAAAAGAAGAAGAAAGTTTGTTTATGTAACCCAAGCAACAAAAGTGAAAAAAAAAACAAAAGAAACAAATAAACAAAATATTCTCAAACACCAATACAACCCGATACTAATTTTCTCCAAGTTTTCATTGAATGTGAATGATGATGATGATGATGATGACGCGTTCGTTGTTGTTTATTTGTTGTTTGATCTTGTTTTTGTTGTTCAACTATAGGTAAAACTGATGTTGATGATAATGATGTTGTTGTTGTTGTTGTTGTTGTATTTCCATCACGAAATTCAATAGCTGTTAAAACAGCTGTATCAAAAACAGTTTTTAAATTTTTTTCCGTTAATGATGAACATTCAATATAAGTACACGCATGCATTTGTTGTGCACGTGCACGTGCTTCTTTTTCCGTCACCGGTTTTAATTTTTGTTGATCAAGTGTTAATAATGTTTGTAGATCTGATCGAAGATCCATTTGTGTACCAACAAGTATAATCGGAATCTTTGAATTGGAACGACGTGCACGTGATAACCAATATGTTATTGCATTTTGAAATGATTGAGGATTAACAACACTAAAGCATAATAATATAACATCACTGTATGGAATACATAGACCATGTAACGGTGAAAATTGTTCCTAAATAATAAAAAACAATGTTATTATTTTCTTTTTGTTTTTACATAATTTTAATTTATTCAATTGATATTCTAATGAGATTCTGTGTTCTATGATTATTATTTGTTTTTTTTTGTTTTATGACAATATTAATGAATAAATTAATAATCATCTACGTAATATGAAAATAAATTGAACAATTGAAATAAACTAAATCTATCAATTTTATTTAGCTCAATTACATTTCATAAGAGTTTCTTTGTAGTATATCCATTCTTATATAAACGATTTACACATGATAAGAAAAAGATAAATATATTATTTATCGGTTTGATCTGTTGAAAACTCGAAATAAAGCTTCTTACTTCGCACGCAAACATATCTCATAGGACGAATCTAATTTATATCAATATTAGGAAAGAAAAAGCGATTATCAACAAATGAAATTTGATATAAAATCGGATCAAATTTACATTAATTATAGAATTCTTCGATTTCTTTTTGCCATAAATGAAAATGTCATATATATATATGGTTCATGAAAATATTTTTCCACTAGGATAATGCCATATTTTGAAATAGTATAAAACAATAAATTTTATCCCTAATAAGATATTGTTAAAAATAGAATTTACGAGCATAGATGATATTTCATAAGATGATAATGACCTTTGGAAGAAAGGAAGTTTTTTTTCTAAATGTTATACGTGTCATCAAGTACTTTGATGGGTAATTAATCATAAAAACACGACGTTCTCAGAACAATATTCGGTCTATTAGACAGCATAGAACTCTTTTTGTTAATGATTTGAATAAAACAAATTTTCTAAATTAACACGCACATGTAAATACTAGATTAAAATTAATAAAAAATTCGACCTATAATATTTTTCTAGAGCTTTAACCTCTATTACTATTAATTGTATCTGAAATTTCGAAAAATTTTACCCAAATTATCTCAGGACAAAGAATTTTGCAAAGTCTACTAAACGGAGCAGTTTTTTTTTTTCGGAGAACTTTGTGTTTTTATAATTAGCTATCTATGAAGATACTTGATGATATGTATAACATTTCGAAAAAAAAAACTTTCATTCTTCTAAATGCCATAATCGTCTGATTAAATACCAGCTATGCTCATAAATTCTATTTTTAACAAGTTTTCATTAGGAATTAAATTTATTATTTTATGCTATTTGAAATCATAGCATTAGTTCACTGGAAAAATATAATCAAGCACTCCATCTCTGAAGTATGTAAAAAAAAAAAACAAGGACATTCGATCTATTTTTCGAATTCTTACTTCTTCTTATTCAAGTTGAATATAAATAAATGTGTTTCATCTCAATGTCTATCGAACAAAATAGTACAGGTATGAGAATGTATACATTCTCTTCGATTGATTGAAATGGAAGAAAAAAAAAAAAGATTAATAAAAATAAATAACATTTGGCCTACTTTACTCTACTCGTCAATAAGATCTATAATTATGACCATGCTTATTGCCTATATTTTCTACTTTACAATTATATCAATATTCTACTCATAAATATATTAAGAAGTCTCAAGGTTATCATAGTGATATTCTTTCATTTGTATGTATTATAAATATACATGTTATTTACCTTTCCTCCTGTATCGCAAATGTCGAAATGAACAAGTCGAGTACCAACAGAAACATCAACAGAATAATTATCAAATGCAGTTGGTACATATTTTGTTGGAAAGTCATTTGTTGTATAACTAACAACTAATGAAGACTTTCCAACACCAGAATCACCAATAATAACACATGTTATATGACCACCTGTATGATGTGTATCTAAAGATGATGATGGTACAAGTGGAATAGATGAATTTGATGATGGTGATGAGGATATTGTTGTTGATGATTGAGTAGCTGATGATGAGGTCATATCATTTTGTGTCCTTGTTGTTGTCATCGTTTCGAAACAATTTGGACTCATTTTCTAAATAGTGCACAGCAACATGATTGAAGGTAAAAAAAGAAGTAATAAAAAAAAAGGAATATGTAAAAGAAGAAGGAGTGTGGCAAGAACAAGAGGGACAGAGAGAGAAGAAAAAAAAAATAGAAGTAATGATTTCAAATAATATTGACATTTTCGACAAGATGCCAAATTACATTCGATCAACTACCTTTAAAATATATACATCAGTTAACTTTGTTGACAAAGAACAGAACAGAACAGAACAACGAATATTGATTTGAATAATAGATTTTTAGTTTACTAATAGTATCAACAGAAAAAAAAATGATCTACAAGAGACAAATAAACAGAAGAACAACAAAAAAGAAAAAGAACTTGCTCATCATACGTGCTCTTTTTCTATGTTTGCCAACCATCTCGGTTAGAGATATTTCTTATCGTATATCATCATATGCTTTCTTTTATGTTACTCTAACTTACTCTGACAACAACAAATGAGAATAAAGAGAGAGAGAGAGAGAGAGACATGAAGAAACCAGGCACGATCCATTTCTCCTGTTGTTCGTTCTTTTTTTTTTATATCTAGAATCATTCAGTCATAATCTTTTTTTTTCCTCGCTCTCTGTCTCTTTCTCTCTCTCTCTCTCTTTGCTTGTTGTCAATAAAATATTATCCTGGGGCGACAAGGAATGCAGAACAAGAAGAAATGCAACATCAACCATACTGTTTTGATTAGTATATAAAGATTTGTATAAAAATTTGCTACAAACTGAATCAAGATATCTGTAAGACGACGATGGTTATTTAGCAAGACAAGGGAAAACGATTCTTGATATATGTGTTACAGAGAAACGCAAGAAAAGATCTTGCTGTTCGTTTATCAAAACAATGGAAACGATAAAAAAACGACATAACACAAGTAGAGCATGCAAAAAAAAAGAACAAAACGATGATTGTTCTTAGAAACACTGTTCGTGCAAGTCAAATTTAATTAGTAGAAAGGATGTGACTATGTAATAGACATGAATAGAAATTTCTTGCATGTATATTTCTTAACCATCAGTAAATGACGTAGATCGATCGTATTAACGGTAATAGAAGCGTAATGTCCTCGATTTTAAATCACCAAATCGGAAGTTGAACTTTGTGCTTCCTACTTATGTTAACTATGGCTTGTGTATTCACGGAAAATGAAGCGTTTGCAATGAGATCTATGTATATATGTTGATGTGATGGCTGCGGTAGGAAATCAATTTTTCGAACGAAGGACAACAGAAGAAAAAAAAAATGAGTACAGTGAAATCATCACTTTTTTCTCTTCTTTATGTATTTCTCTTGTTGATGTCGTTTCCATTGCGCGTCTACTCAAGGATCCGATGAGAATAACAAAACTTTTTTTTTTGCTATTGCATCACCGTAACTTCTTTTTTTTTTCTCTCTTCAGGGCATTTAACACGCATGTATATTAAAAAAAGTACAATAATTTTGATATGCCTAACTAATACAAACATACGATACATCCTACCTTGACAATAACGATCGATACAATCAATAGCGATTATTTTACTAAAAAAAATAAAAATAGGAAAATCTCTTTCATAAAAACGTTTATCATGGTGAAACAAGAAAAAAAAAAAAGGAGAAAAAATTTTCTACTAATAGACAAACATTTTGACAATGCTGATCACACTTCATTATAGAAATAATTTAGAAAAAACAGACAAAATGATGTTAGTATAATTTATTATAGTGCACTAAAAGAATGATGATATGAAAAACTAATTTATACGACGTTCATTAGTATTGGTGTCTGTCAGTTGTCCTTCTTTTCTCTTTTAATAAGTACGTTGAATAACGAAGATGATGAATATCTAACATAGCTATTGAATATCAATCGATCACGTAGATGTACAAGAGGAAAAAAAAAAATTTGAAACTTACTATCATATTTGACCCTCTCTAACGTACAATCGCATCTGCTTCACCTTTTTCTCCGTTTTTTTTTCTCTCTTCTCTTCCAAATAAAAACTCTTCTTTTGTGTTGCATTCATTGCGTGTATGTGTGTGCGTAACAGCAGTTATACAGTATGGTGTTCGGACGAGCAATTATTCTTTTGCTTCGTCTCATCTAGCTAGCAGCCACACAAAATATGATACCTCCTTTGTCTTTTCAATGTTTTATCAAGAAAATGAGAATATGTATGTGACGGAATGTGGAGAAAAAAAAACAAAATACAACAAAAGAAAACATCAATATGTGAACTTGACCATCAATAGTATATTGTAATGAGTTTGAGAAGTCTCTCACATATACACATTTATATATAGACACATATATACTCGCCCTTTTGGCATGTTCATTGAAGCGAAAGAGTGGAAGAGAAAAGTGACAAATTCATTTTGCTCCTCAATCTACTATAACATTGCGCTTCGACTGTATATAACCTATCAATAACGCCAGATCGATCAACAACAATGAAGATAGATGTTGATGATGTAACAATAACCGGTGAAATTGATGCACATAATAAAGAATAACTTAATAAAAAGAATATATTATTGATCGATAAGCTGTTTATTATATTCAAATAAGATATGGTCAATCCGAAGAATATTTGTTTTTTTCATATGATAATCTTTGTAAAAAGACAAACAAATAAAAATACAATTTTTGACGTCATCTATTGACATTGAGTTACCGAGATATTTTTCTCAAGATTTCTCTTCATCGTTCGAACTTATGCAAATAGCATGCCATACTATGGAAGAATAGGATGCATTCTTGGGAAAAGAAACTCGAACTATGATATATATACATTTTTTTTTTCATATGAGAAAATAACTCTTATTCTTATTTTATTTCCGTTTTTTTTTTCTTCTAACAAAAGTAATTTTGTGTTAACTCATTTTTTTTTATAAATATCGTGTTTTATTTTAAATCAAAAAATATCAAAAAAGGAAAAAAAAAAGTGTGAATATTTGATGACATACTTGACTACATATTTTAAGTGCTAAGAAGAAAAAAAAGGAGAAAGAAACGTCATTCAATTTAAAAACTATACATTCAACTTCATTTGATTTAAAAAAAATTTTTCTAAAAAAAAGAATGACAGAATCTCCACTCAATATTCCTGTTTATGAAGGTTCTATGGTATCACTTCGTAGTTCAGTTCCATCCATTGCTCGATTACGTCAAGTGACAGATTTAGCAAAGCGGTAAATAATTATCTTTGCACTACATTTTAAACATATCTGTAATTCTACTAAACATTCATAATACTTAAATAATTAATTAGAACTAAGAATTACTTAAGTCGATTATAAGAGTTTATCTTTAATAATAGAACAAAAAAATCTAGTTAATAGGATGTATACAAAAGATTTATTCAAAAAATAATCTTAGTAGATATTTCTATGTCGTATTTTCATAGTTTATTAAATATAAAGGAAAAAAATTCATTATGGACCATGTCAGGTGAAATCGGGCATACCAACCTTTCATTTGACTTTGATACATTACAAAGATTTCTTTTTTCTGAATAAGTTCTTTTAGCATTAACATATGTAAATATGTTGGCGTTTTCAGCTGACTATTCCTTAAAAAAGTAATTATCGAATAACTTTTTAATCATATGAGAAAAAAATCCGAAACCTTCAGGATAGACTCAATAGTACGAATTACATCTATGATGAAATTTTCTATACGATTGGACTTTAAAAAAAAAATTCGATTTTCTAGAGATCCTATCAATTTGAAGTAACATCATATACATATAACATATAGAAATTAGCTCTAGGAAATTTCATCATCGTGAGATACCTTTGTTTTAATTTTGCTCATATGTTAAATGTAGTCGTTGAATTGCTACTACAAAACAAAAGATAATTTGTTTGTTTTCTTTTAGAAAAATTGAACCAGAACCAAAATGGAAAAATGGTCAACTTGAATCAAAATATCAATGTCTAGCATGTAATAGTTATTTAAAATTTCCTATTCAATTTGAAGATTGTGGTCATCATGTATGTTCAAATTGTTTACCGGATATTATGCGGTATGAATAATAATATTTTGATTTTAAATCATTTAAAGAATTCTATCTATTATTTAGTATTGCTCCACGTTGTCCAAGTTGTCAACAACCAATATCACGTGATAAGATTGTTAATGATAAAATATTACAAAAAGAAATTCAAAATCTCAATGTTTATTGTTCAAATCAAGATAAAGGTTGTGATTGGAAAGGAATATTAAAAGACTTCCCAGTAAGTAGATTTTTATTATAGGACAAAAAAAAATAAAATTGATATATCTTTTTTTTTTATTAGGTTCATATAGAAAAATGTGGATTTCTATCATTCGAATGTGTAAATGGATGTGGAGGAAGATTTGAAAAACGTTTTCTAACTAAACATCAAACTGAAGATTGTCCAAAAAGAAAAGTTATTTGTGAATTTTGTATGAATAATTATTTTATTATTAATATAATAAATAAATTTTATTATTATATTAATTAAGGTAAAACAAATATTATATTCGAAGATGAAATTCCTCATTTAAATATTTGTACTGAATTTAAAATTCCTTGTCCAAATAAATGTTCAAATCAAGAATTTAAACGTGGTCAAGTAAATAATTTTATCAATTATATTAAATAATAATTTGCTTATTTTATCTAGATACAAAATCATTTAGAAAATGAATGTCCAAAACAAGCATTATCTTGTCCATTTACTGAATGTGGATGTGAATATCGTGGTCAACGATTAGATATTACTAAACATATAAAAGAATCACCAGGTCTTCATTTAAATATAGCTGGAAAAACAATTTCAATACAAAAAAAATTATTACAAACATTTGAAGAATGTATGAATGAACAAAAAAAATGGATTGAATTATTAGCAAAAAAAGTTAATGCTTTAGAAAAAACTTATGGAGCTCAATATATATGGAAAATTGATCATTATCAGGTAGAAATAAAGATTTTAAAAAAAATCTTTGATAAATTGAAGATTATTTAGATGAAAAAAATTTTGTTTATTTTTTTTCTTTTTATATTTTATAGGAACGATTACAAGATGCACGTTCAAATAAGAAAACAACTTTATTCAGTCCACCATTTTTAACTAGTCGACATGGTTATCGACTAGCACTTGCAATCTGTTTAGATGGTGATGGAAAAGGTAAAAATTCTTTTATAAAATATTTAATTATATCTCTATTGATTTGATTTAGCAAAAGGAAAATATATTTCATTATTTATATGTATTTGTCGTGGTGATTATGATGCATTATTATCTTGGCCATTTTCACATCATGTTACATTTACATTACTTGATCAATGTGAAGATATTGATAATCGTCGTCCTATAATATATAGTGTTAAACCAAATGCATGTAAAGAAAATAAACCATTTTTAGGTCGTCCTGTAACAGAAAGAAATGCAAGTTTTGGTGCACAAAAATTTACAGATGTAGAAACAATGACATCATTTGAATATATTAAAGATGATACAATATTTATTAAAGTTGAAATTGATAATGAAGAAATGATTATTATATAAAAAACAAAAAAATAAATAAATAAATAAACTAAAGTCTTTTTTTTTTAATATCTATATCAATTTGATTTCATTAATCATTCATCTGTAATTCTATATAAAGAAAAATTCATTTTGTTGTATTGTTTAAATTTAAATGGAAATAAAAGTATTCTAATTTATTGAAAATCTTCTAATCAAATAATTCGGTTCTTATTGAACATAAAAAAAAACATATTTTTTCTTTTTTTTTAGAATTATACTCGGCATCTTCTTCGAACGTATGGGATCTTTTGTATTAAAGAATATGCCTTCATTGTCTGATAAACAAATCGATAATATCAATGTAGATTTAGTACAAATCTCGAAACATGTACGATCTTTTATTATCAATAATTATTGATGGAATCTACTGTTTATCTCAGAATTAGTCATCATGATTACATGCAATCTTTAGGATAATAGCGTAACATTGATTAGATCACAAATCGAGATTAACAGATGGATTACAGATAGTTTTATTTTTATTATATAAATTTGAACGATCATTCTTGTCATTTTTCTTAATTTTTGTTAAAAGTACTATCAAACAAAGTTGCCAGATCTTCTGAAATTTAAACATTTTTCTTATTACTTTCTGATCTTTATTAGATCGTAGTTTTATTAGAGTGTAGATGTAAGTATGAGTCTTCCCTTCATCCATACTTACTCTTGATAAAACATATTTGAAAAAATGGAAAATATGAACAATAATATTGAACTGATGTTATATAACCTTTATTGTTTTCTTTCGTAGGATCTCTTAACCTGTAGAGTATACAGCCTTATTCACTTATTTTTACTAGTTTTCTTCAGTTTACTGTATTTCTGCAAAGCTTCTGAAGTTTTTTTTCTTTTTATATGGTTGAATAGAGCATTAACTACTGTATAGAATTGTGTAGTTTTTCATTTCTTAGCTTAGCCAAAATTTTAATAAATGTCGAAAATTTTTTTTGAAAAAGCTTTTGCATACTCATATCTCAAAGAAAAAAAAAATCCAATTTTCATGAAAATGGTTTTAGATTGAAGAGATCCATCAAACTTAAAGTTTTAGAAAGTATTGAATGAAACTATTTTGAATTTACAGAGAAAATTTAATTTTACTATTGAAATTTTATGCAATTTTGTACTAATAAAAAAGCAACATCTATATTAGTGAAAAAGATTTCAATGTTTATGAAACAATAATTTACTCGAGAAAAAATACTGAAAATTGTACAAAAATAATTGTTAGAAATTCACTAAACTTTTACTTAAAATGATGTAATAAATCTGATGAAGTTTGATACAGAAATAAATGGATCTATCTAACCATATAAAAATACAAAACTTCTGAAATTTTGCAGAGTTACAGTAAACTGAAAAGCCTAGTAAAAATAAATGAATTTTGCTTTATATTTTTTTCGTATTAACTCAACAAATATATTCATTGTTTTGTCTTTCTTTATCGTAAAAGAGCATTTGGTACCAACAGTTTAACATAATATACATGGCATTGGTTTGTGCTTTTTTGACACCGAACCGATTCTATATCTGTCATATAATAACTGCTAGTTTGTAGAAAATTGCTTTTTCTGAATTGACAATTGTGTTGCCAATGTGAAACTTTTTTTTTTGTCTAAATAGATTTGAATATTTTCACTAAATAACTATTCCATTATAATTTTATGCAGTTTTTTTTGTCAAATTACGCGGTAATATAAATGTATTTGCACTATATTCTTATCAAAACTTTAAATAGATCAAATTTCAATTGATATGTAATGATTTAAAAGTATATTTATCAAGAATAGAGTTTATTATATGAAATTTTAAGAATAACTATGATAAAACATTAAAATTCTTTTTCTCATCATCCTACTCGGTTATATGTAATTGTTTCTAATTGATAATAAAATAATTTCTCTTGTTTGAACAGCTAATGAAATATTAGAGTAAAAATATTAATAATTATTCATATGTAAATTTTTTTTTTTGATGTTAAAACTTCTCGACATGACTTTTTTGTAATTTATTCTTCATCATCGATTCCATTCTATTGCAAATATGAAGTTCTTAATTGTTCTCGATAAAATTTTATTTATGCTATACGTTATTGCTGTCGGTCAAGGGCTGATTTGTTGATTTTGTCGTTTATATTTTAATAAGCTTCTTTTTTTTTTCTTCTTTTTCTTTTTATATTTTTCTTAAAATGCAACAAAAACAATCGTTTTAATGCATTTTACATAAAACTTAACTAAAAGCTTTGATTGACAAAACATTTCTTGATTTTTGTTCTTATTTGTATTCTGAAATCGAATGTTTTCTGACATGATGAATCGAATTCAGCTTATAAAAAAAAAAAAAAAAAAAAAAACTTTTTTTTTTCTCTCTTATCTTAAATTGTTATAAACAATTTAATAAGAACCAGTTTAGTTTTTGTTTTGTTGTTTTCAAAAATTTTTCATCATCAAAGTGGAGAAAAAAAGGTTCTTTATAAAGTGCGACAATTTATTACAATTAGTTTTCTATTCTGTCAACATTCATTGATTGTAGTAACGAAAGTGTAAAGTGAGAATGAGAGAAGAAAAAAATGAGAGGTTGGCGAGAAGGTAAGAAATCAAAAAATGGCTGTCATATAAAAGCATACACATCGAGCATTATAAGACAAACAAAATCTTACAATAAATACAGAAGAACACATTACTTTTTCTCTTTTTGATCAAATCAATATGCTTGTTTCACCATCGAACAACAATTATACTAGGCCGATGACAACATCGACATCAACATCTCAAACACCTCGTGTACGTATTCGAACTTTACATGTATGTGAACCATCATATCCTTCACGAGATATTGTACGACAAGAAAATTATATTCGACGAAAAGCTCAAGAATTGCAAGGTTGGTGTTGTCCAAGAACAGTTCCATATCAAGGTATTGATCCAGTTCGTTCACCACTTGAACTTTCAAAATCTACGACAGTAAGACTCTATTTTAAAGAAAATAATACAATTATATATGTTGATAATTTAGAATGAACGAATAACAAATGCAACTCCTGCAAAATCAGTCTCGAAAATATCGAGTGATGGAAGTGGATTCATTCGATCTAAATCTGGTTCTGTTGGACAAGATGAAAATTTGGTACAAATGTATTATAATTTATATAATAAATAAATTATTTTTCTTTTTATAGATGAAAACACAGTTTGAAACAAATATTCGACGTTTACAAACAGCTCAACAAAAGCATATGAAGAAATCAAAGTAAAAATAGTTCTGAAAATTGTTTCCTGTTGTTTTTAATTAAACACGAATATAATCGAAATAAAAATGATATTATTTGAGGAAAAAAAAAATTGAGAAAAAAAATAATGTTCGTAAAGTCTATTATATACTCGTGAAAGACAGACATGCCATAGAGAGAGAAAAATTGATCTAATGGAATCTTGTTTCTTTTTTTTACACATTCGATCCATAATTCACAACTTGATTTGTTGTTTTTCGTACTATATGTATAGAATAATGTTTTACAAAAATTCAATTGGCGTCATCATCCGTTGCTTATGGAAACTATTTCATAAAATAAATAGAATTTTGTTTTTTGTTTTTTACATTAAATTTTTTTTTATAGTGATATTTTAAAACGTGTACAATTGGGTCATAGTATTAAAGATGTTGTTGGAAAATTTCCTCGAGCTGTATGTTAAAGATATTTCATATGAAAAGAAATTTAGGATTATTTGTTTTTTAATAGAATAGTACTCGTGTAGATACTGCCGATACTCATAGAACGGCTAGTGTTAATAATGATGAAAAAGAATCGGATATTTTATATGATAGATTACTTGATGATTTTGAGGAAGAAGACGATATGGATGGATCAAGGTAAGTTTATTATAAATTTATATGTGCTTTCGTATTTTGTACACTTGCACTATTGGTAAACACGTTTTATAATCACAGCGAGAGTGATATTCGTGATGATATTATGTCACCAAGAACAATCACAAATACAAATTTAACTAGCACGGACACGACAGAAATAACTGAATTACATAAAATACATCCGCCTAAGTGAGATATTCTATTTAAAAAATTTCGACTAAAAAACAATTGAAATATCTTTTTTTTTGTTAAATAGTATATCATTTCTTCCAGTGAAATTATGTCAATCAGCTCCACCATTGAATCGTAATAATCTTCGACAAGCAACATTACGTCCATTTACACCACGTTATAGTAGTCTATCAGCAAGATTACGTCTTACAAGACATATGCCTTTTAGGTTAATTGAAAATAAAATTCTTTTTCTTTTTGATTTTTTTATTTAATTAATAATTCATTTTCTTTAGAGATGCATTATATCGTCAATTATGTTGTATTCTATGGTTATTACGAGCTATGGGTCGATCAGATTGGTCAGAAGTAATTAGTGGATGTTGGAATATTGATCAATGGTCAGTATTTTGATTTTTACATGTATCACGTTTATTCTTTTGTGTCTTAAACATTTTCTTTTTAAATATAGGCTACGAAATGATTCTCGTTCACATACACATTCTCATCATCATCAACAAGCTAAAAAACAACATGAATCTAACAAAGGACATCATACAAAATTTCTTCCATCGGAACTTAAATCGATATCGACAACAACAAATACATCCAAAGAAAATGCTATTGCATCGTTACGAACAGTAGTTGGAAATACCGATGTAAATAATATGATATTTTTCATTTTTATTATTATTATTATTATTATCTAAAAAACAACAAAAAGACTTTTTTTGTTTTCTTTAAATTTTCATTGTAGACTTCAAGAAAACAACATTTAAGTTTTGAATCAAATATAACTCGTTTACCTGAAACAAGTTTTGGTAAATATTCATAATTGAAAATAGATTGTTTCATTTTAATATGTTTTTTTTTTTTTGCTTTTTATTTTCATTAAAAGATGATCAAATTAGAAGTCGTAGTAGATTAAGTGATGCTAGTGAACGATTAGATTTACAATTAAATTCAACTAATATTGATTCTGATCTTAATGAATCATCATCATCATCAAGAAGTAAGCAAGGTGATTCAACTGAACATATTAATTTAGATAGTAGTCATCAAACAACAAATATACGTTCACTTGGAGTTACACCTGCTATATTAATAACTAATACAAGTCGAACATCGACATCAACTAATTTCGGTCAATCGACTGGTCGTGCTACAACAGGTCGTTTAACATCCATCATGGAACGACGACGTAGTCCTGATGCATTACTTAAACGATGGGTAAAGAATCAAAAGATGATAGTAAAAGATTCCGATGAACCTTTACCTTTAAATGTAAGTTACTTTTAGATATTATTTTAGAAAAAAAAATTTTTTTTTAAATCTTTAGGAAGCACAAATACGTTTATTACGTGTGGGTGATAATGATGATCTTAAACGTATATTTGGATTAGAAAATGCAACAGATGTTAATAAAGAACAAGTAAAAGTACGTCGAACACGTGAAATTGAACAAAAACTTGTTGCAAATATTAAACGTCGTTCAGCAACAAGTGTTGGGTATTAAACAAAAAAATTTCCTCTTTTTTTTTGTTTTTATTTCTTCAACAACAAAAAACAAATATTTAATATTTTAGATCAGGTCAATCAAAACGTCATGCACAAATTTTACAGAAAATTAAACGAGATTTTAATGATTTTACAGAAGAACAATCAATTATTTTAAATAATAAACTTGAACAAGCTGATAATGATCGTCTTTTTTATTGTCAAACAAAATTACGTGAACTTCAACAAAAAATGCCACCATTAACTATACTTGATCGTTTATTAAAACATTTACGTTATGATGAAGATAAAAAGAAAATTGATGCTGCTTATCTCAAATATCAATCATGGTTTGTTTCAAAAAAAGAAAAACAAAGAATTATACATTGTAATATTTTCTTTGTTTAAATAGGTACGTTGATTTATTACAAATGGTTCAAACCGATTATAGTGATGATCATATAATAATACTTCTTTTAAAAGAAATGGAAGAATTTGCTAATGTAAATATTTTTCTTTTTCAGTTTCACTATAAATGATATAATTCAATTAGATTATTTTGTTTTTAGCCAAATGATAAACCTACAGTTATTCGATTTAAAGCTGTTCTTAGTGATTTAAAAGCTCATGAAATATGTCATCCTGATGTAATGGCTGCTATAGAATTTATTCGTATTCATGTTGTACGAATGGGAGATGAAGAATTTGATAAATTTTTTTGTAGACAATTTCCAACAGTTACAAAATATATTATGACACAAAGTGAAACAACAGAAAATGATGATACTCAATTAGAAGTAAAAACTGTTATATGATAATATTTTGTATATTTATTTTGTTTTGCTTTCTTTTTTTTTTTTTGAAATAAATAAAAATTATTGACTTTTTTTTTTCTATGATGCTGATCTATCATTATAATTAGTAATCAATGTTAAATACTTAAGATTTGATTTTGAAAAAAGAACTCTTCTTTGATTGATTAAAACTTTTAAGTTTTGAGCGTTTTTTTTTTTTACTCCATATATACTTTTAAATACCTTCGATCTACTGAATTTGTTTTGAAATATAGTTGTAAAATCAAAAAACAAACGTAGCTTCGTTTTTCAGACGCGATATACCTAATCAAGCTGAAACTCTTCTATGAGGACTTGATAATGTTTTAGGTGTTGACCCTTGTTCTATTTAAAAAAGATTCTATCACTGATTTTTTTTTATAATGCTCTTCGTATTTGAAGGTTTTGGTTTTTTAAACGTATAAGAAAGATGACTGTGAATGACGATAAAAAGACGCAAACTATTGGACTTTCGAGTATGAAGTATCAATGATATGTTTTATATTTAATTTTTTTTTGTATGACTTCTTTCATTTTGTTATTAGAAATTTTTCTCCATTTATTATTTAATGATTATATATAGGAACCAATTCTGAACGATTGTTTGATCCAGACGTGTATAGTTTGTTTATTAGATTAAGTGAAGTTTTTTTATTCGTCTTAGGCAGATGAATAAACAAATGTATAATAATTTAAAATAAACAGTTCGTTTTTGACATTGATCGATCGTGAAATTATAAATGAGATTAAAAAAAATTGAGTCATCATTAAAAAAATCCAATAGCACACATACATTTGGAATATCGAGTTACATATCGAGAATTTATTAGATATATCATTGATAAAATGCAATCGAATAAACATGGATGATGTTGTTGCATTTTAATATGATACAGATTATTTCATTCAAATAACCTTCATGGAAAAGTTATGAAAAAAAAACCTTTGGTCTTTTCTAATGCATATCACCAAACTCCTTCTTTATATTTTTTTCTAATCACGTTGCTTGTGCTAATGGTCGGTAATATTGACATTGTTTAATTCAATGTCGGAAATTCTTCTGCAATTTATACATATTGATGCATAATAATGATGAAGGAATAACAGTACATAATTCTGATGGTTTTTTTTGTTCTACTGAAGACAAATTTACGAAATTAGACAATTCAATAGTAGTAGATGATTGACTTTCTTTCGTATATTCATCTCAAGATTGTACTAATTTGATCCATGATTATGAAACTAATCTATACTCCTAATATATCGAATATTTTTGAAATTAAATCTTAGAAGACACGATTGATATAAAACACAATAGAAGTTCTTGTTATATTTGATAAACGAGATTTGTTTTAGATAACTACACCTAGAGATGTAAGCTGATGAGTCAATTGGCAACAGCGCTGAAAAATTTTTTAATTTGTTTAAATCTTCGACGATACCTGATTCGAATATGTGTGTTCTTTGGCGATGGCTGAAAATTTCAAAACTGAATATATCTTTAGACGATAAGAAATGTCTGTTTATTTCAATATTTGATTACTAGTAATTTCAAAAAACTAAATGAAATAATTGTATTTCGCACGTTATTTTAATCAAGATATTACATTTAAGTAATTTAGATAGGAATAATCAATTACTAATAACTATAGTCGGAAGCCAAGAGAATCAACGATCCTAGGGATGGACAAACTTTGTTGATAGATATCAAGATACTAAAAAATTACTCTCTTGAGTTTTTAACGATAGAGACTGGGTGACGATCTCTATAAAACATTAAGTTTGAGTTATCTCGGAGATCTTATTTTTGTTGTGCATCTTTTGTTGTTTAGCGATTTAGAGAAAACAGAGAGGGAATATTCTAATTTGTTGTTTTAGTTTGCTGAGTTTCTATCACTCGGTGAATTACCAATAGAAGATTTATCATATGTCCTTGGCGTCATGTAAAACTGTAGATGCTAATCTGTTTTCGATTGAGGATAAACTATCATCTATTTGTTCAAATTTTCATTTATAGAAGAAAATTTTGCAATAAATTCGTTTAATATCTAATGTATCATTTACTTTTTTGTGCAAATGACACGAATGATAATATATAGATCATTGTTTTAGTATGTTCGATAGCTTTCTTAGAATAAAAAAAAACTTTCATTGAAATTATGAAAACTCGTTATATTGAGTGATAGATTCAAATATAAATAAAATTTGAACCACCAAGTTTAATAAAACTTCTTTGTACTATTCTTATTCCTGATATAGAGTACTACATTTTTGTCCATATAAACAACCGAAAAAATTGACAAACAACTTTATGGCTCAAATATAACCGAATATAAGTAAAAATTTTCGATTTTTGCATTCAGATATCGGCGGCAGCGGCGACTGAAACTTTCATAAATTTTTCTTATTAACGGCGGCGCAGCGGCTGCATCTACTGTTAGTCAGCGGCGACAGCGGCTCAAAAATTTTTAAAATTTTCGTTGTTGCGACGGCGGCGGCTGTAATTTTGAAAAAATCGACGGCCGCGGCTTACACCTCTAACTACATCATAACCAGTACTTATACTAAGCTGAGATTATCGATTGACATCACTAGAAAATATTTTCATTATATAATTGAAAAGCAGTTATCGATAACTAACGACAACTATTTGTAATTTTCTTAAAGTTGGATTCGATCTATAATGTATACAATATGGAATTATATGTTCAAATCAAATTTGACCACACAAGAATGAAATGAAATGTACAAACATCTTGTCTATAAATTTCGATAAATAAGCTATTTTATATGTTAACAACATTATAAATTTTGCTTTATTTAATTTCTATTGTTATATGTAATAGTATATTATATGTTGATTGTTTCTCCTATTGACCAATATAATATTTATTATCTTTACACAATGTTTTAACTAATTTTTGTTTTCTGTTGTCTAATATATTGTTATTCACGTTTATTTAATTTCAGATGAGTTCAAATCAATTAAAACTAGATCAAATTTGGAACCGTCCTGAACTACCATCAAAACCTGCTCTGTTTTCAAATACAAATGAAATCAAGGTATTCTTTTTTCCGAATCATTCATCATTGTTTTTTTCGCTTATAAAAGAGTACTTTTTTTTAGACATCTATTGGAAATAAAGATGTTAAATTATCATTATTTCCAATGCCTACTGCTCGTTGGCGACCAAATCAACGTCCATTTGTTCTTCCACCGCAAACGATAAATCCAAATGGTACTTCATCTATGAGAACAATTCAATTAATTGATCCTATTATCACACCAATGCCAACAATGAGTAGTCTAAAACATATTCAAACAACTCAAAATTTATTCAGCATTGGAAAACGTATGCCTGAAATAGAAATAGCTTTAAAACAACTTATTGCTAATATGGAAAAATGTCCACGACCAGAAGAAGAATTACCACAACCATTATCTCTTCGTAATGTTACATTACACGGTTATCAACGACATGCACTTGCTTGGATGGAATGGCGTGAAAGTAATCCACCATTTGGTGGTAAGCAAAAATTTTCAATTTAGTTCTTTTTTTATCTAACAAATATTATTATATGATTTAGGAATTTTGGCTGATGATATGGGGTATAGTTAATTTTTTTTAAAATTATTATTCAGATGATATTTGTTTTTGTTTTTCTTAGACTTGGTAAAACTGTAACTACAATTGCTTTTCTTCTACTTCGAATGAATTCAATAAAACAAGAATCTATCGAACAAATATTTGATTCTTCAAAAAATCGAGCTATTCCAACAACACTTGTTATATGTCCAGCTACACTTATGAGTCATTGGGAAAGTGAAATAACTAAATATAGTCGTATGAGATGTTTTATTTATCATGGTTCATCACGTAAAAAAGATATTCCAGTTGGTGGTGCAGTTCGTGCTTTTGGACAATATTGTGTTGTACTTACATCTTATGAATTAGTACGAGCTGAACATACATGTGATGAAATTAAAGTAGATTTTTTTTGTTTTTCTTTTACATCAAAAATTTTATTATTATTCTAATAATTATTTTAGAATCCATTATTTTCTGTAAAATGGCAACGAATTGTTCTTGATGAAGCACATCGAATACGTTCACATAAATCACAAACAGCTCAAGCATGTTCATCACTTGATACTATTTATCGTTGGGCATTAACTGGAACACCAATACATAATAAAGCTGATGATTTTTATTCACTTCTTCATTTTCTTCATTATTCACCATTTGATATATATTCAACATGGAAATTATTTTCATCAAATCAATATAAATCTATTGAACGTATGAAAACAATTGTACGTTCATTAATACTTCGACGAACAAAAACTGATTATGATTTAAATGGTAAATTACTTGTACCATTACCATCTAAACAAATAGAAAATCTTTGGTTAACATTAACTGATGAAGAACTGAAACATTATCAACGTATTAAAATGGAAATGACTGATGCTTATAAATTATTTATTCATAATCGACGTGAAAAAAAGAAAACAAATACAGTTGTTCTTTTTACATTAATGTAAATATATACATATATCTATATTTTAATAGGAAAAACATTTCTTTATTTTTTTTTGATTTTATTATTTTATTTTAGGCTTAAATTACGTCAAGCATGTAATCATTTATCATTAGTAAAAAATTTATCAACAGATGAAGTATTTGATGATAAAGATGATGTTGCATTAGAATTATCAATGTTTAAATTAGATTTAAATGATACATTAAATGATAAAAATATTCAATCATTGACAAAAGATACTGAACTTCAATATGATATAACATTTTTAAGTACAAAACTTAATTGTCTTCTAAAAAAACTTAATTTAATTGTTAATCAAGAAGGAGAAAAATGTAAGAATACATTATTTTCTTATTATCAACTTCATTGTCGCACACATGCACCTAAAATATCAACACAGTATCATAAAGAATAGTAGTACTTTATGAGAAAGGAATAGCTACTTTTGTCCAGGACTGTATCTTTGGAAGCACAGAAACATACATGTAGTACAATAACTACAAACTTTGGAAGACCTAACCAGATTTTCAAAGGAGGAGAGCTGCTCTTTCTTCACTGGATAAAACACTAACACAAACTCTTATATATCTACTCACATATTCACAATTTTAGTCCTCGATGTACGTAAAACAATTGCTACATTTGACATGTAGTTAAATTATTTAAATGAGATTTTCATAATAACATAATTAGAGAATTAGTATTTCATACTGAATCTTCTTTACTTGTTTTTTTTTTTTTGTAATGATAGGTATTGTTGTTTCGTCATGGGTAGGCATGCTCAATATTGTTCGACATCATTTAAAACAATATCATATACGATCTCTAACAATTAGTGGTGAAATTAAAATTGCTGATCGGCAAGCGGTTGTACAAGCATTTAATAGTGATGAAAAGAAATATATGGTAAAAATTAATTTATTTTTTTTAGATTTAAACATTCATTTATTGTTTTCTAATTTAGGTTCTTCTTTTATCATTGAAAGCTGGTGGTGAAGGTCTTAATCTTGTTGGTGGTAATCATCTTTTCTTATGTGAATTATCTTATAATCCACAAAATGAACAACAAGCATGTGATAGAATATATCGAAGTAATAGAATTTCTTTACTTGTCATTCAACATATTTTGTACTTTTTTTTTGTTTTTGACTTATAGTTGGTCAACGAAGAGATGTACATATTTATCGATTAATGATAAAAAATACAATTGAAGAACGAATTAGTAATTTACAAGAACAAAAATTAAAATTGGCTGGTGATGTTTTAGCTGGTTGTGTAGATAGATTTAGTCTTAGATTAGAAGATATTGCTTATTTGTGCTCATAAAACATTTTGTTCTATTACGAAAAAATTAGTTAATTCTATTTTGTTATGTTGTCTTATTTTTCTATCTAATACAAATTTATATATTTCTTTATTTTCTACCTTTGCTTCTTCAATACAGATATTCATAATAGTTATCTTAATATTTCAATTTGTTCATTTCGATAAAATTCATAATAAAAGTCGACTATAAAATTTATCTCATTATTGTTCATCTAAAAAAAATTAGTTTTTTTGCAAATAAATAGTCGAAGAACGAAATCCAATTAAGAGCAAGAAATATGCTATAAGTATAATGTTTGACTAGAATATAAGATAATGTATTTTTTAAGCATATTAAAAATATCAATAAAGAAATGTTCTTAGCTTTTCTGACTTGTCATTGAATTAGCTGGCGGGAGACTAGCTCACCACTTTTAATTATCTCGAGTACAAGGTAGAGGTCAAAACTGTCAAAATCACTGTTTTCTGAAATTTACTAACGATGAATGGAAACTCATATTGAAGGTTTAAAAGCACATTATATTATCTTGAAACATTGATCTTCCTGACAATGTTTGAAGAAATTTCTAGCGACTCGCTAATCGCTAGGTTATCGCGATACAAGGTGAAGATTTTGTTATAGCAAAAAATATGCAAGGTGTGGAGAGCGAATACATACGCGATCGACTACAGAAATGCTCTGCTTCACATTGTATTTCAACCGTTCAATAGAACTTTTGAAACAGATTAGTGGCAATTAAAAACAAAATTGTTAACTAATTCTTCAAATTGGAAATATCATAGGTCTAGTCGATGGAATGTATCAACAGCATTTCATATTGACTCGTGAAGAAATTTGAATTGGTTGATTCACCGACGGATTCAGAATTCTAGTGAGGGAGCCACTACTTCGAACTTATGCCTTTCGAAGTAGTACGATTTATTTATTGTCAAAATCAATCAAGTGCGGATGTTCTTACGCTTACATTCTTTGTAGCTGGTTTATCTATTAAATCTAGACATTTATAAATAAACAGTCTTTATAAAAGAAGCAACGAATAATTGTGAAGTTAACGAAACAGACGATGATTGAAAGATGAAGAATATTAAATGTCACTTAAAGTTAGTGGCTATGATTTATCCTTATGCCCTTCTTGCTGTTCATTGTTGTCCTTTGAACTCAGTTCTTTTGGGAAAATTTGGTAATTTGAGGATGGATATGAATCTAAGAAAGATGTCATTGAAGTGTATTAGAGAAAAAAAGTTGTTTTAAACATAAAAAGATTCACATTTCACCAGCTGATGTTTGCTTGTTGGTTTTTTAATTCGATCTTGCAGCACTGTTTTATTTTGAATATTTCAAACTTTTATTCTTGTTTATTTTTGAATTAATCATCAAGTGATAAGAACAATGGCCAATATCATTATTGCATTTACCGCCATTACTTACCACAGGACTCTACAAACCATTGGGGTCACCAGTTTCGTAATTACTTCTATTCGAAACGAGGTGGCGATAGCCGGTATATGATCCACCAGTGATTTAATAGTAAAAAAGACGCAACAATACAGAACAAATTTTATACATTTAATTATCTTTATTGTATTACATATACATACATATACATATATGACCATAAGACATAAAAAAAAGGAATAAACATACACATAAATTTCATATTTTTTGAATCAAAGATAAGATATAGAAAGAAAAAAAAAGGGATTTAAAGAGTAATACCATTTGTTGAACAATAAGCAAATGGCCACCAAGCAAATGATAATCGATTACAATCATCATCATTTGGTGATGTTAAAAAATAATAACGTATGATGACAGTCCAGATAAATAAAACTATTGAACAACTAATAATTACTGCACACCATTGTAATCTACAAGAAACGATAGAAATTCATATTTACACAACAAATAAAGAATATTTTTTGCTATATATACCTTTTTAAAACTCGTTTTATTCGATCTGATTGTATATTTTTAATATTGGTAGATCGATTAACTTTTTGAAAAGATTTTTTTGAACAATTATTTTCTTTTGTAAGTGTTCGATTAAATATTGAATCAATTTCTAATGTCATTGATGATATATCTTCATCTAAATCAGGTGTTGGTGAACGACTTGTTGTATAACCAGTTGATGTATTTAAACCAGAATCCGTAGTTGTAACAGTCATTGCACTTGGTATTGATGGACATGGTGATGACAGACGTCGAAGATGTTTTATTGATGATTTCATTTGTGTAATCATTGGACTTGAACGTGATCGATTTAAACATCGACATGGTAATAATGATGAAGTAGAATTGAATAATTCATAATCATCACAAAATAATTCTAATAAAATAAAAGTTGTTAGCACAATTTCTTATGGAATTTAACTATGAAATACAATGTGTCCATTCAACGACATGCACAAGAGCGAAAGTACATTTCAACGAAGTTTCCTTGGCGAGGTTCGATTGTTTATGTTGAACGATGACTCATCGTGGTAGATGTATTTATAAGTGATAGCTCTTGTTCGTACTTCTCTTTCTCATCTATTAATCTATTTTGAGGTGTGGATCTTTTCTTCACTAGTCCATTCACTCTATTTACATTCGTAGCTAAAGATTTCACTGTGTTGCCTTTTGGAATTCTCACAATAACTCATTTGCTATTGCAAATTTTTCGCGAAAAAAAAGTTTCGCTAGTTTTCAACGATACTTATAGTTGTTGTTGCTAATCATAGAGAGAATTGTTTGATTCTATCTCTTTTGAGACACATTTCTTCACCATCCTTTTACTGAATCCTCTAGAAGTGCAATCAGGTAGTTTATATATTATAATTAGTCATTATTGATATGCAGTCTGTGGGGGGTCTAAATTTTTTACTCCTATACTTCAATAATTACAAATTTGATCATTTGTCATCGATAAAACTAACCTCGAACAGAATGAAATGGACAAATGCCAGTTGTTAAATTCTATTAAAGAAAATTTATATTATTAATAAGATAAATCAAAGAACGTACTGATAAATTTCGTCGAGAACGAATTTTCTTTATTGGTAATAATACTAAAGAAAAAAAAAATGAGAAGTGAAAAGTAAAATTCTATTTCTTTTACTATTTTCATTAAATTGTTCTTGTTTTTCTTTAAAACTAAATCATTGAAAAAAAAAAGTATGAAATTAAATAAATATTCTATTTTTTTTTCTTACTTTGTTTTTGTATTAAATTTTTCAATTTGTTTAGTTAGTGAAATATTTTTCAATCGTTGTGTTTTTTCATCTTTTTTTATTTTTAATAATTGTTCTTCTAATCGACGAATTTTTTCATCGGATATTTTTTCTTTACATTTTAATTGTTCTATCGTATAATGATAATCTTTTAATATTAAAATAATATTCGATGATGTTAAATTTGATTCAATTGAATTAGAAAATTCATTTAATTCTAATTGAAATGTTCGTTGTTTTTCTAAAAAAAAAAAAAAAGAAAAGAAAATTAATTAAACATATTAAATTTGCAAAAATAAAAAGAATCTTTACCTCGACTAGCTATTAATAATGTTTGTAATTTTCTAAAACGTCCTTCAAATACATCTTTATTATCAATAACTTTTTTAATTAAATTTTTTATTGTTAATAAATGTTTATCTATTAAATTTGTTGTTGTTAAAATATATTCATGATCTTGTTCACATTGAATTTTATTCGTTAATATCGTCAAATGTTCATTTATATTCATACCATTTACATGTAATTCATGAAACTATTTAAAAACAACGATATTCATAAATAGAAAAAAAAAAAACTTTATTGAATAACACACCACATCTTTTAGATGCATCGAATTGAAACTATCGGTTTTTGATAAAAGTATTTGTACTTCCATATCATCAATTGTTTCCATATTCGATGAATCAAGACATTGTGAAACACATTCATTTGAAATATTATCCTGTATAAAATATAACCAAAAATATATTCTCTTTTTTTGTCAGATCGAATGCTTTCGTATGCCTTATTTTAATTATATGCAAATAGACAAAGATATTCAAAACAAATTATTTAACAAAAGAAAAATCTCAAATTAGTTTCTCTAAACATTAATTTTCATGATTTGTTTTAAAGCCTTTCTTAATCATATGATATCTCTAAATGAATACTAAAATCAGAAGACAAGAAACTCGACACTGGAGTCACTGAGATCTGAGTTCGAAAATTTTGTACCCAACGGGTTCTATTCTACATGGTAATATATCGAAACTAGGAAAAAAGTTTTTTCTTGAGAAAATTTCTTTTTGTAGCATCTTCCTTCCTATAGGGAATGTAAAAAAGAAATAAAATCGTATCCGAAGGAAAAAAATTTCTTCTTCTTCTTCATTCTGAATATCAATTGTAAGTAGGCACGCATCTAAATCCAATAACAAGACTTATTTCATTGATTATGAACTATATCAATAAACTATTTCGAAGAATGTCTGCTCTTAACAACCACGACTCAAATAAATATTTTGAATAAAAGAATATCTTTGTTTTTTTTTCCTATAAAAATAGTTATTTACAATAGTATTTATTTCTGCAAAGAGTGATTGTCCATTGGAAATAGTTGCACGACGTGATACATCAACACGTTCTTCAAGTTCATCACATAAAAAACTTTCTTCATCACATAAATTTGATAAAGATAATCGAGCTTCAATTGATTCAGTTTTTGCACTAGAATATTCATTCCATTACAATATTTTTAATATTGAATTAAATCGAATATTTTTTTTTATACATACTTTCGAAGTTGTTGACGAAGTTCTTCAACAATTTTTTCTAAATTTTCATTTTTTCGTACAATGTCCTATAATGTTATTTTATTTATAAAATAAAATAATTAAAATAATATCTTGACATACCTCATTAACTAGATTTAAATCATCTAAAGTTGTTCGTAAAGAATTAATAATTTGATAATTCTAATTAACAAGAAAAAAAAAACATCCGTTTTTTCATTAAATCTTTTAAATAATCATCAAATACTTCTTTTAATTGATCTCGTACTGTATTTAATTGTTCTTCTAGCTGTTGTCGACAATCCTATAAAAACTTATTCAAGTGTATTTTTTTTTTTAATAACAAAAAAAAACAAAGATATTGAATTTCATACGAATTCTTTTTTTAAATCATGTTCAGTATCCATTAATTTATTCATATATTGATTACATTCTTCTCGAATTGTTTGTAATTGACTTTCGATATCAATTAATTGTTCTTGAAGTTCAAATTTTTCTCGTTCACAACATTCATTATCTTCTTTTAAATCTCGATATGAATTTTCTAATTGATTTTTATAGACATGTAAATCAACATTTTCATTTATATAACGTGAACTACGATTGAGATCATCTTCTAATCTATTGAATACAGAAAATAGAAAAGATATTCATTATTTTATAATATTTGAAATTAAATATACGAAATTTTTTTCTTTTGTATTTCTTCATATTGAATTTGTAAACGTTGATGATCATCATCAAGTTTTTTATATTCTTCTTCAAGCATTCGTAAACATTCACTTTGTCGACGATTTATTTCCAATAATTCATTATATTCGATTTTACATCTAAAATTATATTAACATATTTGAATGATATGAAATTTGACTTTAAAAATAAATTCAACTTTTCATGATCATTTGATTTTTTTCGTGAATCAAATGAATACGATGATACATCATCATTTGTATGTAAATCAATATTTTCTTTATTTCGTCGTTTTTTTAAAGATGATGATGCATTAGGTGACATTGATGAAATTGATTTTGATACCGATGTACTTATATTGGATTCACTATAAGATTAATCTTATCGTATTTAAATATCTTAAATGATATCAAATACTTACTCAACAAGTTGAGAATAAAGCTTTTCAACAGCATTAAATAATTGATCAAATGTCACTTGTTGATCAGAATCACCGAGTTCATTTAATAAAAAAGTAAAATCAAATTGTACACTTAACTTTAAAAAAAAACCAATAATATAATTGAAAATTAAAAATAGAAAATAGTAAATTCTAATAAATATACTAGATCTGTATTTTGTTCAGTAACAAAACGAAAATGTCGTATAAGTTCACCAGCATTAACACGTTGATATTTATCAAGTACACATGAATTAAATATGTGTTGTAAACTTATACGTTGTTGAGATGTTTCATTTCGTAAGTTAAGTGATTCATTTGATATAGCTTTATGAAGATGAACAATTGGCGATGACATCACGATTGAAAAGAACAAATTCTGACAAATAAATGAAAAAAAAAAAGGAGAAGAAAAGAAGAAAAAAATTGACATAAATGAACAAAGAACTAAACGATGTTAGAATAAGAATTTTCTCTCGCTCTTCACTTTATTTATATATTTTAAATTATGAAATTTTATTAAATAGAAAAAACAATTTAATGATTATCTAAAATTTTCGCTGAAATTCTTCAATTAAACTTTATACTATAGATGTCATTAATATATAAACTGTCGTGCAACAGCAATTGATATAAGTGTCTAAGCCGATTGAAAATATAATTTAACATGCTAATGCCTATCTTTAGTAAATAATCGATTACGTAAAAAAAAAAACGAAGGCATGCATGCGTCTGTGTTTAAGACGTATATTGTTTCTAATTAACTTTAAAAAGCTATAAAAGGCAACATAATCAAGAAATGTCTTGTATTTAAAATTCAATGATGTCATTCAATTGTATTTCTATTATGAAAAATCAAAAAGAAAATAACAACAAACTTTTTTATTTTATTATTAATAAGATTAAAACTACGGTTAATTTAGAGTAATAAAAAAAGAAGTATCCTATAGCAACATGAATGATAATGTCTCTGTTCATTCATTCTAATATTTATGTAAATTCTAAATAGAAATAAGAATAGATTTATTTAATGTATATATTATTCTACAAACAAACATTAAAATTGGTACTAATTCTCTTGCTGATATAAGTTAAACAAATATTGTTTGTAATAAAATAGTACAAACGAATTGTAAAAGTAAACTACTTAAATATTAAGAAATTAAAATAAATGAAAAAAAAAACAACAATAGCTGTTTAAGAAGTGTTCAAATAGAAAGACTGTAATGGAAGAAATAGATGTATATCAACTGATAGCTGTAGTCTCTGTTACTATATCGTCCAACAGTACCAATAATGAGAGTGCTACTACAACGTTATCAGATCGTCCCAGTGCTTTATCCAATGTAGAAAATGAGAGAGTGGTATCCTTCTGAGGATCAGTTTTAAATCGCTCCTTCGAAAGAGAAAATCTAGATGAAATACGAGGTAGCCTAACAACATTTGGCAAAAGTATGGACGATATAGAACGTCTTCAATGATGAAGACAGATTTTTTTTTATTCAATTTGAAATTTACAGATCGTTAAAAACACTCTCGTTTATTAAATTTAATCATTCACTTCCCACTAATGGATCTTCATTGTAATAATATTTTAAATAAATTCTACAATGATTGCAAAAATTTCAAATATTCAAGAATATTCTATTCTAATTATCTAAACATGAAAATTGAATGTTGCAGCTTGCATAAAATGTGTTTGATCATTATTAATTCTTTGTTCAAAAGATTTATTCACAATTAGATACGAATAAAACTTTTACATGAAATATTAGTTTATTCATATTTTATTATTTTACAACTAAATTGACTATTAAATCATTTTTTGAAACAAATGAATAGTTATCATCTTAAGTAAACAATTAACAAAGTTCGATTTGTATTAGTATTATTGTTGAATTTGATTTCATTTTATTTGAAATGGAAAAGATCGAAAATGATGATAGAAAATTAATTGATAAGAAACTACACAAGCATATTGCTAAAAAAATGATCTTGGATATCGAAAATTTTTTTAAAAATCGAATATCTATTTTTTGTGTCCCAGTGACGATGATTGAAAATCTTCAACTATTTTTGAATTTTTCTTAGGACTTAGTCGATTGATTTATACCTTTAAATATCAATAATATATAAAAAAAAATAAATGAAAATCCAATATATTACATAGAGCATTAATCAACTTGTTAATCACAGTGATTTTAACCGATAATTGTACCCGTGACCTTGAAAAAAGTTCTCGTACGATGTCTTTTAATTTGATACAAAATTTACCATTAATTCGAAAAGACGAGTTTCTCAATTAAGTAGAAACAACTCATGCTTATCAAATCAAACATATCTAGATCAAAAAGTACAATCTATATACGACTGTTTACAGTGAAAATACAATTATGTAAAGCGTCGTAATACTCGATTCAAAAATACGGTCGTATCATAATCAGATGACAACTCATATACGACTGTATACAGCAAAAATACTGTATCGTATTGTTATGGACAGAATCAGAAAAAAACTATAGCGTACTTACTGCTGTAAAGTTGCCATTTTGTCACTGTTTACTAGCAAAAAAATGTACATCGAGCTGGGTACACTTGTAACAATCTATCCTTCTTCTTTTATCATTCATTTTCTATCACAATCACTTCAGTAATATGATGGTACTCATCAGAAAATATTTGAGTGGTGTAGATTCATTATACTTTCGAAATATTAAGAGTTTAAGAAAATACTAAAAAGAAAATCGATTGATGTCATTTAGCAAAAATTTACGTTATAGACGATTCATATTGTCAAAACAAGGTTATCAGATTATTCATAAACGAACAACTATTTTTATTTTATGAATCGAATAATATTTAATACGCAATAACAAATAATTTGAAGGTAAACAACTCATATGCGTATCACTCTCAAGAAGAATCGATTGATAATGATATTTATTTTTATTACCTTGAGATATCGAAAGAAATATATTCGTTTCGGTAGGCTAGATTTTATGATATTATAAATGAGAGAAAAAATAAGCACATGTATTTCGAGAATGTTAATCATTATAGTACAATTTTGTATTTTTTTTATACCATTGGTAAGTAGATATGAATCATTTATTTAAATATACAAAAAAAAAGGAGACAAAAGTAACATAATACAGTTTATCGATGGTTCGGCATCCGACGCATTCAGAAACAATATCAAAATGAATGACGGAATGATAAAAAGTAAATTCTTATCTGTTTAATTTAAATTGATAATAAATAAAATAGACCAAAATACTCAATGGAGCAATGGATGTTAATATATAACCGATAATTTGAAATGATAATGGATAAATAAATGTTTCATATGAAATCACACTAATCGTACGAATTGCAATAGCTAACATACCAAAAAGCCATATAGGTACAATAATAATCCAACAGAGCCAAATATGTGTTAAAGGACGTTTTAAAACTTCACTGAAAAAAAAATCAACAACAATCTCATTCAAATAATCATATAAACCGAAAAAAAAAGATAATTTTACCTGATATGTGTAATAAATGTTTGACCAGGCCATTGTTTTGGTGGCCATTTTCCATACCATGATGAAAATGTTGTTCGATATGCAAAAAGAACTGTAAATAATTCTGCAATACAAATAAGTAATAAAGGTATAGCACCACAAATATAGCCATCAAATATATTAAATATATAAAAACCAGCTCGAGTTGTCATCAAAAGACCAACTGAAAATGATATAAGAACATAAATAGCAACAACAAATTCACGACGAATTTTTCGTCGTTTTGGATATCGACCATACCATTGATCGAGTTTATCAAGTGTTGCTGTAAGTACTAAAAAAGATTATTGAAATTCTCAATATATACATATATATATATATACGATTTTCATTTCTATTCTTACCACTTTCACATGTAACAAATTGTGAATCAATACCAAGTAGAAAAATCATAATAAAAAATGTTATAGCCCAAAAATGTGGTAATGGCATAAGACTAATAGCTTTTGGATAAACAATAAATGCTAAACCAGGTCCACTAGATACAACTTGTTCAATAGATACATTTGCTTTATGACTCATAAAACCCAAAACAGGAAAAACAACAAAACCACTGCATACATTTGTAAATATACTTGTCGTTCCAGTTACAACAATATCACGATAAAAATTATAATCAGGACGATTATAACTTGATAAAGCTGGAATAATACCCCAACCAATACCATATGCCCAAAGAACATGTCCTTAAATCGAAAAAAAGAAAAGATAATTTATTTTTCTGAAACACAAAATAATATTTTGATTATCACGCATCGTTCATTCATATATCTTTTCTAATTTTTTCTCTTTTTGTTCTACCATAGACCATATTGATAATTTAAATGATTGAAATCTTTTTTCTTTGTATATTGTTAATCATATTCATCTGTCTACGTTTATATTGTGAAATTGTTTGTTCTTTTATCAGGAATCTTGGTATCGACAAACACATGAACTCGAAACAAAGATTATATAATAAATAGAATATCGAAAATGAAGAACAGACAATAAGAATACACAAAACAAAAGTAGACATAGATTCTAAATGAACAGTATACAAGGAAAAATCTTTCTATCGTTTGAATTATCAATATGGACGATGATAGAGCAAAAGAAGAAATATTAGAAAAGATATATAAACGAACAACGTGTAATAATCAAATGATCATTTGTTTATTTAATACATTTTATTTTGATAAATTGATTCTTGTTCATCATACATTGTTTTTTTTTCTTATCTTTGAAAAATTAAAATTTTTTTGTTAAAAGTTCTATCTAGTCTTGTCTTTATGGATATGAAATATAAACATGTCGTTATTATAAGTATGAGAAAGTCAGCTCGTTTGCTTGAATCGTAATAGAGATATTCGATTGTTTCTGTATTTCGTTATAATACACAACCTAATTGCTTGATAACATTTCTGGAGGATTAAGTAAAAGGATAGCAAAGAAATATATGTTCCAAAAGTAGATAGAATAAGACGATTTCTGTATTTAGTAACGACAGCTGCATCCTATTTTACATTTTAATCCTACAGGAATTGTACTAACAATTTTTTTTTTTTTCTTATAATAAAAAGTTTCTTTTTGTTTATTTTTTCTATAAATAATTTACCTGCAGCTTGTATCCAAGCTTTCTTATTTAATAATCGTTGTAGGTCAGGTACTAAATAATATTTTAAACCATCCCAAGATCCATCAAGAGTCATTCCACGAATAAATAATGCCGTCATTGGTATATAAGGAAATAAAGCTGTAAATATAGCTACACGACTTGTTAATTTAATACCTTTCCAAAGACATAAATATA